GCCTCCGGAGTCTGGAAGGTAAGGCGCGCCGCTGCACAATGGAGCCGCGGGGAAAGCGGCACCTGCCCGCCTTCCCGAGCGAAAGGGGGCAAAGCTCTTTGAAGTGGCGCTTGCCTCGACTGGGGTTTGGCGGGGACCGGCCTCCAACCGGAGGGGCTCTTTCCGTGCAGACCTGCGTGAGGGTGGGGGGCGGGTGATCGGTGCGCAGATCTCTTTGGCTCGTGCGCGGCTTTGCAGCAGAAGGGAAAACTCGAGGAAAGCCCCGGACTTGCGTGGAGCTCTCGTTGCGTTCAAGAGGCTTGGAATTAGTCGGGGAGAGCGGAGACAGGCGAGGCTGGGCTGCCCCAGGAGAAGCAGGTCAAGGAAGTCCCACTGAAAAGGGAGCGCGATGCGGAAGGCGCCCTGCAGCTGCGGTCGCCCCGGAACGCCCCAATACGCATTAATCGGGCTGGTTTGGTTTGGCTTCGTGCCTGAGATGAACTCGGCCGTTGTAGTTGCAACTCTGGTTTACGGTTTCGTGAATTTATGAACCCAGCCAGTGATGTAATTAATAAACCGTGGTTTAGGCTAATCTCCTGGACTGGGTTGCATGGAAGGGGAAGATAGAAAAAGTAAGAACTGGAGTTGAGAAACAGCCCCCGAAAGAGAGAAAAGAAAAGGCAACTTCTGCAAGCAGAGGAGACAGGCTGGTTCGTGAGGACCCGGAAGGAAGGAAAGGTAGAGAATGACGCTGGCACCTGTGTTGCTCCCGTGTCAGCGCGTCTTGTGCCTTTGATTTCGCGGGCTTCCTATTTTACACTCTTTTCTGCACGTTTCCCTCCTTTGGAGAGGGGAGGGGGATAAGCAGCCTGTGTTTACAGAGGAAAAGGTCGGAAACGTGAGACCGTGAAGGGCACGCTCGTGTTTCAAGCCCCGGGCATCTTTCCGCCAGCAGCAGCTCTTGCGTGCATCGGAGGGTCCTCCATTAATCGAGAGGAAACTTTAAAGAAAACATCTGAAGGTCCAATCGCCCAGGTAGAGGAGCCTCGTTTCCCGGCCTCTCCCAGTGCCTCGCCTGCCTGCAGCCCTCTGCCGCCTCCCGGGTGCTGTGCCAGCTCAGCAGCTCTCCCCTCTCTGCCAAGGGGACCGGAGACTCTTAACCGGAGCAGCGTGGTGAGAGTGTATTTCAAACACTTGGGTTGTAAAAAGACAAAACTAACTTTCTGGAGCCATTGTAGAAACCAGAAATAGACTTGGAATGAAGCAGGCTTGACTTAGATAATTCATGGAATTATAAAGTTTATACTCTGACAATTTGTGGGGTAGGGAAACCATTCTTATAGGAAAGGGGTGTTTAGCAGTGGGACAATGGGGAATCCAGAAGGGCCTTTTCTGAAGCGGTTGGAGCAGTGTCCCCACCAGGACTGGGAGAGACAGGAGAGGAAGCCCTACCCCACGGCCTGGCTTTGAACACAATCCATGGCTTGTCTGGCAGAACATAGCTGGATTCTTATTTATGCTTCAACTGTGGTTTATGGAACAAACCATAAGAGTCAGATTCCCCCAATGTACTAACTCAGAACCAAGAAATGGCATTGCAACCAAACTAGGATATGTGAATCAGACCTCAGAGTCTCTTTGCAGTGAGAGGTGGAAGCTCGGAATTTCAATCAATCAAACAAACAAAGAATAGAGCTGGAAGGGACCTCCGAGGTCTTCTAGTCCATCCCCCTGCTCAAGCAGGAGATCCTATACCATTTCAGACAAGTGACTGTCCAGTCTCTTCTTAAAACACTCCAGTAATGAAGCACCCACAATTTCTTTGGAAGCTGAGTGGTCCTGAGCTGTGATTTTAGGAAAGGGAGAGAAGTTCCAGCACTCATTTTGTGCAAGGCCCAGAAGTAGAAGTACTGGAGGCTCTGTTGGGAAGAACATTGAGCTCATCAACTTAATTCCTGTAATTATCTGCAGGGTTCTTACGCTTAAGAAAGGGAGGGCATTAAATCTTCAGATTCAGTGGGAAACATTGTGGGTCCTTCAACTCACATTCCATTGCCTGTTGCCCCTTAAGGCTAGCCAGTGCCTCTTCTCTCCATAAACGCGCATCTAAAAAGGGACTTATTACAAATAAGGAGCAGCCCTCGCCTAGTGACTGCCTAAGGGAGGTGAGACCTAATTCTGGCTATCGGTGCCAAACCAGGTAATCAACCCTTCCTCTGCATTCTTACACTTTGTTTCCTTCAGGGTTAAACTTTATGCGTTTCCTCCTCTAGCATCGAGCTGCTTGTTTCTCTTCTTTGTTTACACTTCATAAGCACAGCAGTTGCAGCTGAGGGGTGTTAGCAGTTCTCAGGGGATGTTTGATTTCAAGAGGGGAGCCTCTCACCTTATGGGAAGCTTGCTATGCTATCCAGACAATGGAAGCCATGGGGGACCAGCCAAGCCAAACTGAATCTGGGCAAACCATTCTCTTGCTTATGAGGAATCTGCTTTTTCAGAGGAGCAATTTGTGCATGGTTTGTGTGAGATTAGGACTTAGGAGGGATTCCAATCCAGAGTTTGATTATGAATTGATCAGGACTTGACCTTCTCCAACCACTTATCTTCCAGATGTGCTGCATAGGTGTCCATGATGCCTGCAAGCTTAGCATTTGGGGACATGGAAGGATGTCTAGAAGAGCACCAGATTGGGGGAGCTGGTAGATCCTCTCAGGAGAACCCATATCCACCTTGGCTAAGGAGTCTTTGGGCCAATTGTTTGCCTTGAGCAGATCAAGGCAAGGAGTTGGCTTAAATTCATTTTTATGCAAAGAGCAAAAGGAAGAAGGCGGGGAGGGGGAAACACAATCTAATAATAGATTTGCCTGACTGGATTTTGAACTCTATTCTTGATGCAGATCTTTCCACTGTAATTTTACGGGCATTGTGATTTCCTGGGAAACTTCTGCAGTCAGTAGACCTTTGTGCTAAATTTATCATATGAAATTAATCTCCACGGTTATTTCTGCTACATCTGAAGGCAAGGGGTGTGAACAGGATGTGTGTGTTTGTGCGTGTAGGTGACAGGCAAGCAAGAACAAGATCCAGTTAAGAAACAGCATTGCAATTAACTGTTCCTGCTTTGTGGGAGAAATGCTGTTTTCCCCAAAAAGTGCTTCTTTTAACCAAGCAGGGCGGATCTGAGCCCAGAGCCTCTGGAATGGGGCCGCCTGGACTGTGGGCTCCCACACAAAAAGCAGCACCTTGAAGAGGAATTACCCAATTGGGAAAGGGCCTTTTGGGACCTTCCTGGACCTTTGTTCTATCCCAGCCCTGGTTGAAAGCTATTGGGGAAAGCGCGGGCGGGGGTGGGGGGTGGGGGGGGAGATGTATGAAGGCTGTGGAATCTGGTGTCAATTTGTAAGGGCATTTGATTGGTCTAAGCAGTGGCTGGGGTCAACTGCCTAGGCTCCCCAGCGTTTGCACCTTCAAACCAGCACAGCAGGACCATCAGAGGCCCTGGCAGCCTTAGTTCCCCACCCCCTCCCACTTCTGAAAACCAACTAGGGGAGTGTCGGTCACGGCTTTCATCGCCCTTTGCTGGAAAATTGCGTGTTCTTGGTGGCACCTCTGATCCGTATCTTGAATGGGGTCTCTCTGGGTCAACGGATCGCTAAATTGGGATTTGCGCAAGAACCGCTCTAAGCCTGCGAGGGAGTAAGTCTGGCGGGCAGATGCCAGCGAGGAAGGCGCAGCCCGCTGTGTGCCAGAGAGGCCCTCGGAGCCGATCTGCGGGGAAGGGGATCGGGACCGGTTTCCTCCGCCTGCCCAGAGGTCGCCTTCCCCGGACAGCGCCGGCGGCACTTCCGCCGCCTCGAGGCAGGTAGGCAGGCTCATGGAACGAAAAAGGAGGCTGAGCAGGAATCGAGCGGAGCCGAGCCGCCTTCACCCTTCCTTGGACCTGGCCGCCGGGACCGTCCTCTCATCCCGCATCTCCGGAGTTGCGTCGCCCAAACCTTTTTCCCGCGGAAAGCGCGCCCGTGGCAGCCCCCGCTGGACCCCGGGGAAGGGCGGGCCGGTGGGCGAGAGCACCTGCAGAGAGAGGCAGGTCACGCTGTCGCCCCTCCCCTTGGCCTGGGAGGGGGCTTCCCCCCGACGGGGCGGGGCGGGGCGGGGCGGGGCGGGGCTAGCTCTAGCCTCCCGGGTCGGGCGCTTTAAAACGCCGCGCTGCTTGGAGTCCAAGAGAGAACGGCACGGCACGGTGGGTCGCGCTCCGGGAAGAGGCGGGGGGGATCCCTGGCCGGGCCCCGCTTGTATTCTGGGCGGGAGGCGGGAGGGCGCGCTCTGCACATGCTCCTCGGTGGCCTGCTGCTCCTTGGCACTTCGGGCGGCGACGCATCTCTTTCCTCGAGCGATTCCGGGCTGGGTTTAGGAAAAGGCGCCTGGCTGGCACCATCTCCGGGCTGCATGGCAGGATAGGCGACGAGGAAGGACATGTCGCTGCTGTCGGAGGCGGTGGCGGGGGAGAAGGGCAGCGCGGACCGGAGAAGAGCGAGCAGGCAGCCGTGTTGCAACTGCTCGGCCGTCCCCGTTTGCACCGGGCCGCCTCAGAGTCGGCTGCGTCGGGCTTCCTGGGAGCGGAGTAGAGCAGGAAAGGGCAGTGGCCGCGGCTTCGCCGCCCTGCCCTGTCCGGACCCGAGAGCCAGCTCGGAGCGGGCGGCGCTCTTCTGTACCAATCCCCTTCCCTCCCCGTCTCTGGGCTGGACTGGGTTGTGCGCGGCGCAGGTGCCGCGCGTGTTGGGGGCTCCGACGGGTCTCAGGAGCAGAACTGGGCAAGCGCCCCTCTCTCCTCCTGCCCGCCCACACGGAGGAAGGGCCCGCCTGGGGGGGAATGCAAAACCCAGCTCCAGGCCTCCGTCAGGACGGGGAAGGAGCAGCGGTGCGGGTGCGGGTTCTTGCCTGAAGCGGGGTGCACGGATGGGGTGGGGTGCGGACCGCCATGGGTGATCTCTGTAAGCGGGCTTCTCCCCTTCTTTCTGCAGATGCCCTTGAGCCTCCCCACAGCCCTGCGTGTTTCGGGGACCATCCTCTTTGCCGTGACGGTGCTGGGGGGCATTCTGGCTGCCTACATCACAGGCTACCAGTTCATCCACACGGAGCAGCACTACCTGTCCTTTGGGCTCTACGGAGCCATCCTGGGCCTCCATCTCTTCATCCAGAGTTCCTTCGCCTTCCTGGAGCACCGGCAGATGCGCCTGGAGGGGCGACCGCTGAAGCTGCAAGCCTCGGTGGCCCTCTGCATCGCTGCCTACCAGGAGGACCCGGACTACCTGCGCAAATGCCTGCGCTCCGTCCAGCGCATCTCCTTCCCCAGCCTCAAGGTGGTGATGGTGGTGGATGGCAATGGGGAGGAGGATGCCTACATGCTGGACATCTTCCAGGAGGTGATGGGCTCAGAGCAGACCAGTTGCTACATCTGGAGCAGCAACTTCCACGCTCAGGCGGTGGACGAGACGGAGGTTGCCCATCGGAAGGCCATGCAGCACGTCCAGAGCCTTGTCCGCAACCACACCCACTCCTGTATCATGCAGAAGTGGGGGGGGAAGCGGGAGGTCATGTACACAGCCTTCCGTGCGCTGGGGGACTCAGTGGACTACGTGCAGGTGGGTGCCAGCATGCAAGGCCTTCCTGTTCTTTCTTCTCTCTGTCCTCCTGCCACCCCCACCCTGGCACCCAACCATTGAAGAAGAAAGCAAGTGTCTTGTGAATGTGGAGCCCGGGTTAAAAAGCTGGGTCTCTTCAGCCCATTGGACCTGGCAAAGAGAGGCACTTTCCCTATTTCTCAAGTGGAAGGGACTTCTTGCCAGAGACGTCCAGCAGATGGCGCCCTTCCAGCCCCCCTTCTTGCCCCTTGGGGCTGGGCTCATCTTTCCCATTCACATGTAAAGGACACGGGCACGGTCACACTCTTGTGCTGACCCACAAGGAGAGGATTTGCTGCATGCCAGTCAGACCATGCTCCCTTGCTCTGTGTGATAGGCACCATCTGAAGGGACCATCCATGCATTTTGCTGTTTCTCCTTGATGCACTCTTGTCTCCTGGTGGCTTTTCAAGCCTTGCCAAAGGGGACTAGTTCCTTGTGTGTAAATCTTCCCTTGGGCCATGATGGTCCTTTCTCCTGGGCAGGTGTGTGACTCGGACACCGTTCTGGATCCTGCCTGCACTGTGGAGATGCTCCGGATCCTGGAGGAGGACTCTCGTGTCGGTGGTGTTGGTGGAGATGTCCAGGTAAGGTGTGAAAGCTCAAGGAGCACAAGGGGGGGGGGGTTCCCAAGGAGAGGAAGCTTCTGTTTCTGCCCAGCCCTGATTTCTGTGTTGTCTTAGAATCTGGCCCTTCCATTTAATCCTGGATATTTTGCAACTCTATGACATGCTTATTCATGCTCTACTCAGCCATTGCAAACTAAAGTTGTGACTTAGTATTGTGTACAAGCTTAGCTAATTTATTTAATAAACAATTATTAAACCAGGAATAAATGCAAAGTTTGAGCAGTCCTCTCATGGAAAACTGAGTTTGGAGGAAGAACCGGTAACAGCAGGACAGTCCCAACGTCTCTCCTTCTGTTCTAGATCCTCAACAAGTATGACTCCTGGATCTCCTTCCTGAGCAGCGTGCGGTACTGGATGGCGTTCAACGTGGAGCGGGCCTGCCAGTCCTACTTTGGGTGCGTCCAGTGCATCAGTGGGCCCCTGGGGATGTACCGCAACTCCCTGCTGCAGCAGTTCCTGGAAGACTGGTACAACCAGACCTTCCTGGGAAGCAAGTGCAGCTTTGGGGACGACCGGCACCTCACCAACCGTGTCCTCAGCCTGGGCTACCACACGAAGTACACAGCGCGCTCCAAGTGCCTGACGGAGACCCCCACCCGGTACCTGCGCTGGCTCAACCAGCAAACCCGCTGGAGCAAGTCCTACTTCCGGGAGTGGCTCTATAACGCGCTCTGGTTCCACAAGCACCACCTCTGGATGACCTACGAGTCAGTGGTAACTGGCTTCTTCCCGTTCTTCCTCATCGCCACCGTCATCCAGCTGTTCTACCGTGGCCGTGTCTGGAACATCCTCCTTTTTCTCCTGACGGTGCAGCTGGTGGGCATCGTCAAGGCCACCTACGCCTGCTTCCTGCGGGGCAACGCAGAGATGATCTTCATGTCTCTCTACTCCTTACTTTACATGTCCAGCCTCCTGCCGACCAAGATGTTTGCCATCGCCACCATCACCAAGTCTGGCTGGGGCACCTCTGGCAGGAAAAGGATTGTAGTCAACTTCATTGGTCTCATCCCCATCTCGGTCTGGGTGGCGGTGCTGCTGGGCGGGCTGGCGTATACAGCCTACCGCCAGGATCTCTTCACGGAGACTGAGCTGGTCTTCCTCGTCTCAGGGGCCATCTTGTACGCCTGCTACTGGGTGGCCCTGCTCACCCTCTACCTGGCCATTGTGGCCAGGCGCTGCAGCAAGCCGCAGGAGCAGTACGGTTTGGCCTTTGCGGAAGTATGATATGCTGCAGGAAGACAATGGAGGGAACTGGAGCAAGAAACTCCATGGACCAGCACTTTCCCTGTGTGGCTGAGCCATGGGAAGGGCTGGCCCCACCTTGCTTGAGGTAGCGTTTCATGTGGCTCATCTGGAAGCAGCTGGCAAACTCAGCAAGCCGGAACACTTTGCTCTGTGTGTGTGTGTGTGTTGGTGATGGTGGGGGATAAACAGGGTTTCTGCTGCAGAACTATCCCGAGGGGCTGGCAGAAAGACCCTCTTGGACCTCAGTGAAGGACCTTAGCAGCAGCTCACCTGCCCTCCTATGCAAACAAGACATTCCTGAAGGGGCTCAAGGTGACCTTCTCCTGAGTGGGTGACAGTGGTGGCTTTCAGAGGCAATGCTTTGGGGGAATCACTGTTGGGAGACATCGTTGAGGCCTCTTGGAGGGAGGGTAGCTCTACCCAGGTCCTCTTTGGCGATGCTGTCTGTAGGAAAAGCAAGAGGGTGTCTTCCAGTCGTTTCACTGCAGGAATAACGGGGTGGGCTGGAGGGGGCTGGAGGAGGAAGGCCAGAAAGCTCCATTTGGGAAAGAGCCCTGAATGAGGTACCCACCAGAAAGGGAACTTTCCCAGTCTCCCAGAATGCCCCCTCCCCTGCGTGGTAGCCAAAGAAAGGGGGGCCTCAGCTGGAGGAGCCGGTTGCCTTATGGCCACTCCGGATTTTCCACCATTTACATGCCATCAAGCACATGAATGACGCCTGATTTAACAATGTTTAGGTGGGCCAGGATTTGTTCCTGTCCGCAACCATGTGGTTGTAATATTGTGTGCACTATTAGGACGTTCTACCTCTGTCCACACCTCTCGTCCTCGTAACTCTCTGGGGCTTTTCTATAGATTCACCCACGGTGCTACTTCCAACTGGGAGAAGAGAGGGGTTGAGATACTTCACAGGCTTCCGTCCTGTTCTCGGCTTAAACCACTCCGCCCTTAATACACCTTGCCTGTCTCCTCCAGTAAGAAGGGGCTGGGAGCTGGAGGGGAACGTGCAGGGCTTCTAGTTCAGGGGTGGTGGAAGCTTTTACTGCAAACAGCAGCTCCACTGAGAGGGAACATGACACCCTCCTTCCCCCTCATCCCCCTTTGCCAGCTTCCTGCTTAGCCAGCATCTGAACAGGTGGACACAAGTTTGCTCAGCTGCTCCCTTGCGCAGAGCCTGCCTGCCCCCTGCTGGAGTTTAGAGGAAAGGCAGCTCTTCCTAGTTTCAGACCTGAAGAGCATTCTTAAAACTGAGAATTCTGCATGTTTTTACATCTCCTTTGAAGAGCAAGTTTCTACATTTTGAGCAATATTTTAAACCGTCTCAGAAAAATTCAGAGACTTTTCTGGAGTTTTGTACATCTATTGCCAGATTGTGCTCTCCTTTTAACAAACCCCAAATGGCAAGACAGCCAGTTGTCTGGAATGGTACAGGGTCTCCTGCTTGAGCAGGAGGTTGGACTCCGAGGTCCCTTCCAACTCTGACAATGTTCTGTTCTACACTTTTTAGCTTATCAGAAATATGGGTAAACTGTAAATAAGGCCTGCACATTTAAAAGAATGCCAGTTAAGTTCCATGGACTGAAAAAACTTGTTATAATGACAAAATGTTGCTGAACATTTTGGTGTTGAATGCACTAATACAACTACCATCTAGATGTATGGACTTCAATGCCCATGATCCCCAGCCAGCAATTAAACTCTGGCACATCTGGAGAGCCCTGTGCTGGAGAACTAGCGAAGCTTCACAGGCTGGCTGAATAAAGCTCTCCTGGGTTCTGTGCATGTTCCTTGCTAGTGGGAGCTCCTAATCGTAGCCGACACCCAGACTCTTCGGCCTCCTTCAGTTCTCTGGCATGGGGGGAGGCAGGTGCTGCACAGAGGACTCTTGTGCTTCTGCCCCATTTTATGGCGCATCCTCACAACTCTTTGTGTCCTCAGAGGGCAGCTGCATTGACTCAGACTGGTGAACGGGTATCACAGCATCCTTGTTTAGTCTACTACGGGCATTAATCTCTGAACCAAAAAAAGTATTTATATACACCCTTCTCCAGTTAGGTGTATTCCTGCCTTGTATAGAACATTTTATGTGAAGAAATTCATTATGTAACTAGATATTTTGCAGAACAGGTTTGATTTACAAATTTTTGTTTCTGATTTGCAGTTTGAGGATTTTGCCAGAAATGAGGAAATAGTTTGCTTGTGTTTTTTTTGTTTTTGGCTTGAAATGCAGAATTTGCCAAGCCATCAAGAGGACCAACCCTTTCCTTGGTACAAATCCCAAGAGCCTTCAGGCACTCACGGTTTCTCTGCAATTCCACAGAGCAACAAAGTAGAGCTGACTCCTGCTTCAGCATCTTTGCCCAGGCCATTTCTTGCTATGCCCAGTGTGCCAACTGGTATTTTGGGGAACTGATGCAGAGGAAGGGCAAACACTGGTCCTCAAAGGCGGGCAGGAGAGGGAAGGAGGGAGGTTCTTCCGATGCTGCCATTTTGCACAGGCCTCAAGACCACAGCGGGAAGAAAGGTCAGGTGCAGAGGCTGCAATACTTCACAAAGAGCTTCACAAAGGCTTCTCTCTCCAGGCTGGCTAAGGCCAAAGCATGTTGGGGAGGAGAGCCAGGATCCGGCCCCTCTTTTGGCTGGACTTCCTTTTTGCTCTTCTCCAGCTCTGCTGAGCTTCAGCTTTTGGGTGATTCTTTTGGGTTCCTGATGAGTTTTAGAAGTTTTTGAACTCTTTGATAATAACACTAGTTGAACACTTAAAAGTTGTTTGTAAGTGTATTTATTTTTTACTTGCATTTTCATTTTTTAAAAAGAGGTTTGAATTTTTTTTTATTGCATTTGTTACAATAATAAAGCTTTGTAAACAGAGGAGCCTTTTTCTGTCCCCCCCGCCCCCAAATTAACAGGGTCCCAACAAACTGTCCCCTTTCGGCAAAGAATAGACAGGCACCCAAATGCCAGCCTGACAGCCAAAGAGCACCGGGGAGGGCCCGCCGGCGGGACTCAGGCCTTCTTGGGCGCGCTGGGGACGATGGGCTTGGGGCGCGTTTTGAAGAGCATCTTGGTACGGATGAGCGCGGCGACCTCGTAGGCGGCGGGGCCGGGAGGGTCGCCGGGCGCGGCGGCTCCTCTACGCAGGACGGCCACGGCCTTCTCCAGTCGCACCGCCTTCCCGTAGAGCACGTGGTGGCCCACGATCAGCACCGGCGCTCCCTGCGGGACGGCTAGGAAGGTCAGCGGACGCCTCTCCGCCCCCCCCCCCGCGCTCCCCCCCCGGCCCCGCGCTGACCTCCTGGGTGAAGTGTAGGTCCCCCAGCAGCCGCCCGGCCAGCCCGCCGCCGCCGCTGCCCCGCGCCTCCAGCTGCCCCTGCAGCTCCAGCAGCAGCCACTCCGCCGCCGCCTCCCCGCGCGCCGCCCTGCAAGACGGAACCGGTCAGGACGGGGCGGCTTCCCCCGGCGCCCTCCCCCCCCGGCGCCCCGGGACTCACCGGCGCACGGCCAGCTGCACCATCGCGCCGCCCAGCGCCCGCCGCCGCCGCCGCTTCCGCTTCCGGGGCAGCGCCGCACGTGGAGTCGGCGGCGGCCATGGGCGAGTTCCAGGTGCACCGCGCGCGGCTCTTCGCCTTCGTGCCGGCCGGGGTCCGCTGCCTGGCCGCCCCCGCCACCCGCCCGCCCCGCCGCCTGGCCGCCGCACGCCTCGACGGCGCCGTGGAGCTCTACGACCTGCGGGCCAACGGCGCCCAGGAGAAGGTAGGCGGGGGGCCGGAGGGGCCGGGCGGGGCGCGCTGCCCGGCCGGCCTCCGCGACTCTGTCTTCCTCCCTCCCGCAGGTGGTCCCGGGCCACGAGGCGCGCGCCCCGGAGGCGCTGTGCTGGGCGGCGGGCGAGCGGCTCTTCGGCGCCGGGCTCGGCGGGGCGGTGGTGGAGTTCGACCTGGAGCGGCTGCGCGTCAAGTCTTCGCTCGACGCCTTCGGGGGGCCCCTCTGGAGCATGGCGGCCAGCCCCAGCGGCGCCCAGCTGGCGGTGCGCGGGGGTCCCCGGGCCCTCGGGGCGGGGGGCGCCGGGAGGGTCCGGGTCCGCGACATCTGCCGCGCGTGGAAGGCCGGAGGGGCCGCGGGGGGGGGAGCGCGGATGCTCTGCCCGGCCAGGGGGGCTCTGACGCTGGGCTGGTTTCTGCAGGTGGGCTGCGAGGACGGCTCCGTTAAGCTCCTCCAAGTCGGGCCGGATCGAATCCAATTCGAAAGGCAGCTGGACCGGCAGAAAGGTCGGGGGACGGTGGTCCAGAAGGGATTTGCCGGGGGGGGGGGAAGGGGCGGGAGAAGCAAAAGAAAAGGCCTCTGGGGATCATAGGGGTGGGGGTGGGGGGAGTTTGCTTTCAGCGCTAAATTTTTAGCTTGGGCTCCAAGTTGAAAACTAACAGAGTTGAAACAGGACTATAATTATGCTGCTTTAATTCTTTAGCGTTTTGCCCAAAGTTGTGATTATGGGATAGGTTCCCAAAGTCAACAGTCGGCCTGTTTTCACTGTACAGGGTGGGAAGTTCCAGGCAGGGGTCCAGTGGCTGCCAAAGGCCATTCCATCCTGGGCAGCTGGATTCCTCCGTCTGGGGGTTGGGGGAACAGCATTACCTGGACAGTTCCAGCAACTGGGGCTGAGACCCTCCCCCCTTCTCTCACAGAGCGCATCCTCTCTCTATCCTGGCATCCTTCTGGGACCAAGATTGCAGCTGGCTCCATTGACTGCTTCTACATCTTTGACATCGAAACTGGTAAGTTCTCCAGCTAGTTTGGACCAAGAGAAGCAAGCAACGAGCAGGAGCATCTGAGAGGGACCTGCCTGGGCTGCCAAGGGAGTCTGAGCCCCTCTTGACTGCTTCAGTTACACAAGGCAGTTGGCAGTATTCTTAGTCATTGGAGCCTGTTCTGGTCTCATGGTGCAAAAGGTCCTGGGTTCAGTTTCTGTAGGTGTTCTAAAAGGAGATGGTGGAGTCAATCAGGACCCCCAGGTAAGCAAAAAGGCCAGTGTGGTAGAAAAAAGCTTTCTGTGGCTTTGTTTGAGCAACTGTTTTTCCCAATTGCCTTTAAGTATGGATGATTTTTAATTGCTGCAGTTGAACATCCCTCATGCATCTGTCTTAGGGCACGTCAGCCAGCGAATCCTCGTAGAAAGGCGTCTGCAAGCCCCCCCCAGCCAGAAATGCCTGGTGTGGGGCCTGGCCTTCCTTTCAGATGGCACAGTGGTCAGTGTGGATTCTGCTGGAAAAGTGCAGTTCTGGGATTCGGTGATGGGCACTCTGCTCTCCAAGCATCCCATCAGCAAAGCTGCAGTGCTTTCCGTGGCCGTGGCTGAGGTGGGTGAGAGTTGCAGAATGTGGGCAGTTTTGCAAATCCTGGTAAAAAGGACAGGAAGAAGCGTCTTTGTCCCATCAGAGTATTGAATATTTATCAACATTCTACCCTGATCAGTTGGGCCAGTAGTACAAACAAGCTGTCAAAACCCAGATTCCCCCTAAGGCCTCGTCGTATGGAGCTGGGGGATCAGCTTGCCACCCAACCAGACTAGCACAAGTACCTCTCCCTGTAGGTTGCTTCTTTCTGGAAAGGAATTCTTGGGCATTTTGTGCTGCAAGTCCAGTTTGAAATGCTGAAGTTGCTCACCATCGAGTAGGAAGAAGCAAAGGGCCAGCTGTGGCTGATCCACCATCTTTCAGCAGGGCCTTCTCTGAGGCATCTGGCTGGGGGCATAATTGGCCAGAAGGAATCCGAGCCTTTCTGGTCTTTGAGGTTCACGGCATCATGTTCTCAACCCCTGGTATTGCCCGGTTTTCTTCAGGCAGAAGATAGTATGGTTGTTGGCACGTCAGAAGGGATGGTATATCAGTTCCAGCTGCTACCGGTGAAGCTGGACAGCTCTGAGCGCCAGTGGGTGCAGACGAGACCCTTTCGGCATCACACTCACGATGTGCGGACGGTGGTGCACACTGCCACAGCCTTCATCTCTGGAGGTACAGTAGGGCGCCCAACTTCTAGGTTGTAACTCAAGGTCCTTTATAAGCAGAAGATGGGCAAGGGTATCCCCACAGGATCCCCAAAGAACACAGTGAGGTAGATGAGACCAGTTGTGTTCCTGGCTATCTCCCCTGGTCTGGTGGCATTTGGGCGGCTGGGATGACTTTACGCATTGCTCTAAGTCTTAGGGTTAGGGTTACGTCACCATGAACTCATAGAGCAAAATGGACATCGCCAACAAATTCGGAGTCCTTGGGTATGGTTAGGAAGGCACTGACTTTTCTAGGCTGCCCTATCTATGTTTCCTGATAAAATACATGGGAAAATCCCATTGGAGGAAAATTCAACTAAGCGATGGTTTGTTCAAGAAGCCTGCGCATCTTGGCTCAGATAATGAAAAGCCAGAGGCCAGAGAGTGCTTTGGGGAGATGCACAGAGCCAGCCCTCACTAGGCAAGCTGTCAGGCAACTGTCAAGAGTGGCTTTATGAGCCAGGTGCCATTCTCTGGTAGGGCTGGATGGGCAACTTGTGATCCGACCCCTAATGGAGAAGGTGGAGTCGAAGTCCTATGACGCTGCCCTCCGCACAATCACTTTCCCCCACGTGAGTATCCGGACTGCGCCCTTCTCCTGGGCTGAGGGGGAGCTGTTCCCCCTGGAGAGAAGGTTGGGATCCTGCAACGGTGGGGCCAGCTGTCTCCTTTGCTGGTACTTCAAGTGGCTTTTCTCTTCCTGCAGAAGCGCCTTGTCTCCTGTGCCAGGAGAGCCCGGCTCCTCCTCTTCCAGTACCCCCAGCACCTGGAGCTCTGGCGGCTTGGCACCACAAACTCCTTTGGTGAGGATGCGCTTCAATAATAATAATAATAATATAATAATAATAATAATAATAATAATAAACCCTTTATTATCAAAGTATAGCATGTATACAATGAAATTGGCTGAGCCTCCCTCTGTGCCTCCCCTCACCACAAACTCACGGTGACTACAAACCCCAAACTTATTTCACCCTGTGAACTAATTGCACATCACGCCGGCCTCACGAGTCTGTCATATATAAAGTTATAAAGTTATGTCCCATTCAGAAGCCTGACAGCCCATGGATAAAAGCTGTTCTTCAGCCTGTTGGTACGGCTGGCTATGTTTCTGTATCTCCTACCCCATGGTAGGAGAGTAAAGAGGTACCAACCAGGGTGTGAGTCATCCCTGAGTATTTTCCTCACTCTGCCAAGGCAACGGGCCCTGGCGATGTCATCCAGTGGAGTCAGGGAACAGCCCACGATGTCTTGTGCCGTGCTCACCACCCTCTGCAATACCTTCCTGTCTGCAGCTGTCAGGCCAGCATACCAAACCACAATACAATACGTGAGAACGTTTTCAATAGTAGACCGGTAGAAGAAGGTCATGAGTCGTCGTTCTACCCTACATGCAGATGATGGGCACGGCAAAGAACACAACCTCCCTGCCTTGCCATCTTCTTTGGCAATCGCAGTAGGACTGTTTTGCCATGTCCTGCCTCAGGTGGCATCTGGCTTTCTGCAAGTTGCCTTGGTTCTTGTTGCAGGAAGGCCTGGTGAGCTCCTGCCAGTGTCCTGCCCTCCCCAGAATCTGCTCCAGCTGAAGGCCAAGGTGAGACGCCATGATTTCCTAACCCTGGCCCTAATCCTGCACCTGGGGCAACTCTGTCCAGCCCTGGTTTGGTGTTTCCATCCTTCGCTGCCTTCTCTGCTCAGAGGAAGAATGGAATGGGTGCCCTAGAAGTGCCCCTTGAGGGCTCTGTGCAGCACATTGGTGGGTCTGGAGAATCCCTCCTGTTTCCAAGTCAGTTGCGCAGGCTCTCTTTGCTGCACTATTATTGGTCCTCTCGCTTTATCAAAGGGCCCAGAGCACATCCGCAGCAGCTGCGTCTCTCCGTGTGGCGGCTGGATCAGCTACTCCATAGCTAGCAGGTTCTACCTGCATCGGGTTCAGCTCGTCAGCGACCACATTTCCATCAACAGAGTGAGTGGGATCTCCATGGTGTGGGGGGAGCTGTGGGTATTCAGCCAGCTGGAACATTCCCTGACTCTCTCTGGAAGGCCCAGCCAGTTGCATCAATCCTGGTTTGTTTTCTTCAAGGTTCACAAGACTCCCAAGCTGAACGGCTCAGCCCACCACCTCCTTTTTTCCAATGACTCTACCAGCCTTTTTCTGGCATCGGATCGGGGCTGCGTGCATGTGCTTTCGCTCTTGCAGTCAGGGACCTGCAGGCATCTACACACACTTCGCCCAAATTCGGGTAACAGCGGTTTGTTTTAGATTCAGGCATACTGAACATTCTTGCAGGAATAGCCAAATGTTTTCTGCAAATGCTCCCAGATGAGAAAGATAGGCAGCAGTTAGCTGGCCTCCACAGCAGTTAGACTTGCTGGAGGAAATCTGAAAAGTGCTCCAGCTCCAGATCTGTGTCTCCCTGCAGAGACCTTGGAAGCAGTGCAGCAGCTGGCGGTGAGTGCGGATGGCAAGTGGCTGTCTGCAGCAGGGGGAGACCGGGAAATCTGCATCTATAATTTGGAAAACACCAAGGTGAGCCCAGCCACAAACATGGCAACCAGAGACCAGATCTCTTAGTCCCGTTCCGCCTCCTCTTTGCTGGTCTGGGTCTTGTAATCAGTCCTGGGCAGTGTAGCCAGTCCTCTCCGGTGCCTCGTTTGCCTTGGGTTGGCTTTGTGGGAGCAGAGAGTTGGCTCAGCCAGTGATGAGTCCAGCAGCTTCTGATGGAGAAACCAGCTCTGCAAGTGGGGAAGGCCGAGGCAGGCTCTCCCTCTTATTCCGCTGCGCCTTCCTTTCCCAGCTTCATTGCACTGTGCCAGCATACGAGTGCCCAGTGACTGCAATGGCAATCCATCCGCTGACCAATAACCTCATTGTTGCACATTCAGATCAGCAGGTAAGGGCTGCTCTTCCCTAGATTGGCAAAGCAGAGTTGGCACACACAGGTCTGCCTCCAAGAACTGCCCCAGGCAATGCCAGTTGAGGGCAGTGTTAGCCTTGCACACCCATACTTCGGCAGTAACCTGCTGCTCTTGGAGTCAGGAAAGGTGTGAGGGGGGGTTCCATTAGGGAGTCAGCAGCCCAGTCGCCACCAATCCTAGTTAGAGCAGAATGTCTTGTTTCCACTGGAATTAGCTGCAGTTAAGAGGCACACCCTGCATTAAAGTGCATCTTTTGCCAGAGGAAAACTTGCTCTGAATGGAGCACCGGGAAGGGAAGGGAGGCGGTTCTCGTGCTGGGATGGGAACGATCTGGCTTCAGAACAGGATCTGGGGAGGGGAGTCACGCCTCCCCTGCCGGCTTTCCTGCTTCCAGGTGTTCGAGTTCAGCATCAAGGAAAGAGGCTACACGCCTTGGAGCCGGAAACTGCAGCAGCTGGGCCTGCACAAGGATTGGCTGGAGCGGGACACACCCATCACCCACATCGCCTTCCGCCCTGGGCATTCCTCTCATGTCTTGCTCCACGACACATACATGTTCTGCATCCTGGACACGTCGCTGGTGAGTAGACGGTGGGTGGGACTGAGTGTGGCTCTCTGACCTGCAAGTCGCAGAAAGGCTCACCTTAATTGTGCCAAGGTCGCCCATGCCGGCTGGGTCAAGCAAGGTGCTCCCTTAGATGGGAAAGCACCGCTTGTGCCCAGGCGACCTGCCCCTGCAGATCCCACATCTAGACCCACTGGGTGGGGGGACTAATTCTGGAGTCCGAATTGGTGTTTAGCACCACTTGGCGGTTCAGCCAGAAATGTTATTGGTTTGATTAGGGCTTAGTACAAAGTGTGAACCAGGCCACTGAGACCCGTTCAGCAAAACATGCCTTTAGGGCGCTGTGCTTTAGCTTGGACAGTGACTGCCCTCGTGATGGTCTAATTTGCTCCTCCAGCCACTGCATGAGGACGCTGCAGCCTCAAAGAAGCCAGCGCCACACGTGAAAACAATACAACGCAGTCATGGCCGGCCCTTCAAGATCTGCAAGAAGTTCCAGGTGGGTCTTTGGGCAGTGAGCTTTCTAAGCCAGGAGGAAAGGGGAGGCCTTTTATGCGGGGCTGGGTAAGCAGCACCTGCTGAGTAGGAAATCCCCCCCCCCCAAGTTCTGCAAACCCAGCCTGGAAGGTTAGCTTGTAGTTCCAGGGGAGACGTTGGGCCCTTGGATTAACCAGGATCAATGGATCCGGTAAGCGTTCGCAAGTAATCAGCTTGCCAAACAGGCACGGGGATGGCCACTGTCAGCAATGGTTTTGGGGCATATTGTACAGTTTGGGGGAGGGGTGTTATGCCAGCTGCTGAAGCCCCAGCTGAGGAGCCCCTGGCCCATTAGAACAGAAGGGAGGTTGCCATCCTGTGCCTGAGCCAAGGAAGGTCTCATGGAAAATAGCCGTTTTCTTCATCAGAAGACCAGGTCTCTGCAAGGGACGGGGCCTGTGTTCACACAAACGCCCACCACAGAGGACAGGGACAGTGTTCTGGTAGCCCCAGGGGAGGAAGGGGACCATAATTCTCCTCCCCTTCTGTCCTTGCACGAGAGGTGGAAGCAAAGGGCCGCAGCTGTTGGGCAGCTGCAGGAACAAGATGGTGCCTGGCTCCTGTGGGAAGCAGAGAGCTGATGGCTTCTGTGTTGCTGTGTGTGCATGTCACAAGGTGGCAAGGCACTCTGAAAGTCCGGAGGGGGGGGTACAAGCCCTCTTGTGGCTGGCAACGCCGGGGAGCTCAACACGGTCGCATTCTTATCCCTGCCAGGCATGCAAGGTGAAGGGCCAAGCTAGATACCCTTCAGGAAGTCAGCTGTGCCAGCAAAGCCCCTTCTAACTTTACTGCCTGTTTCTTCTCTCCTTGCCCTCCCTGTCTGTGTCCCCCCCCCCCCGCAGCCTCTCCTCTTTGTGGATTTCCTGGATGACAATTCTTTGGTGGTGACGGAGCGGCCGCTGATGGACATCAAAGCCCAGCTGCCACCACCCATCTATCAGAAGAAATTTGGGACATAGGTTTGGAAGGATTTTTGCAGAGGCCATCCTTCACTGAGGGGCTCCCTGTGCCCTTCCCTTCAGAAGCAGGGGGCTGCCTGGCCAGAGGAGCAACTGTTGACGGGGACCCTGCCACCCCCATCCTGTGTCCTTGAGGTTACCTGTTTTTCCACCGTGGTCTGGCCCGGAAAGAGAGGAACCCCTCGTAATGATTAACTTCTTGTGCCTGGGAGCCAGGACCACTCAGGAGTTCCAGCATTGACTTTTCTCTGAGCCTTCCTCGTGAAGACTTGCAAAAGAATTACTTCCCATTTTATGCACAGCCTGTTGGGGCGCATCCCTTGCCCACAAAAGTGCAGCCTGGCTGGGCTGACCCTGCAGCCGCATTGTCTCTGGGAAAAGCCTGCTGCTGCTGCTGCTGCTGCTGCTGCTGCGTGTGGCCAGCAGCCAAGGGGCCAGCAGACTTCCTGCTGGGGAAATGGCTTCAGGCCCTTCAGGGCCGCCCTGGGACCCCATTGCTCTGCTGACACCAGGCCCAGCCAGGCACTTCACTGCTGCCTCCAGCTCTACCTCTGCCGGACCAGGAACCCTGATTTCCGCCCCACCAAGCCAGAACAGCAAAGTCAGCAGTGGGGGAGGAGGCTGCCTTGACCTTGCTTTGTTTTGTGTTCCTCCAGGAAGGGAGGGAGGGAGGGAGGGTCTGTCTGTCTCTCTCTCTGGGTCCCTGCATTTTCAGAAGGGCAGAAGGAAAGGGCCGCAGCCCTTTTGCTGCTGCTTACTGGCGCCTGAAGGTCACGTGTCCTCTGCTGGCAGAGAAGATCCCTGCCTGGTGGCCAGTCTGACAGCCCCTCCCCCTTCCAGTCTGACATCCCGCAGGCCGATGTTGGGCCATAATAACACGGGGAGCTCTGAGTTTGGCTAAGAGACGCTGCGGTGACCAGTTCGGTAAAAGGAAGCCTCCCTTCCTGGTGTACAAAATGTTTACATCGCTCCTCTGGACCAGGAACACAAGCCGCTTAAATAAAAATCCCTCCAGCTGCTCAAGGCTCTTTCTCAGACTTTGCGGGGGCGTAACAGCTGTTTCCGAAGTTGCCTGGGCTCAGGCTTCCAAACGGTCGTTTGGAAATGGAAACGACCCCCGGGTGTGTTCCAACAGGAGAATCGCGGCTCTCGCCGCCGCCGTCCCTGGCTTGGCCTGCCCGGAGGCACCTGGCGGCCCGCACTTGCCTCTCGGGACCCCAAAGCCCGCTCGGCGCCTTCAGCGGGTCTGGGGCTGCGGAGGAGGAGCCGGCGAGGCTGTTGCCAGAGCAACAGTTCGGGCTGGGGGGCTCGGAGAGGCTGAAGCCTACAACTCAGCGCCCCCCCCCGTGCTCGGCAGGCGCAGTTCGGGACACAGAAGCGGCTCCTTTCTCGGCCGGATAAGGGCGACTCCCTCCGCCCAGCAGCCGGGGACCACGCGGGCCTCCCTGCTTCGGAGAGGCTGCGGGCACCGGAGAGTCTCGCGGAGGCGGCGCGGGCCCCCAACTCACGTGACGCGGTGCCCTTGGCACGAACCTGCGGGCGGGGCGGGGCCAGCCTCCTGCGCCCTGCAAGAGGCCCCGCCCGCGCCACTCGCGGCGTCTCGGCGGGTGCGGGCATGGCGGTGTGGACGCGCGCCCGCAAGGCCGGGCTGGTGGAAGTGCTGCTGCGCGAGCGCTGGGTGCGGGCGCTGGCCGAGCTGAGCGGGGAGGCGCTGGCGCTGAGCTCCGAGCCGGAGCCGCGCAACGGTCTGCCCAACGGCGCCGCCGCCTCGCCCTCCGCCTCCCCCGAGCGGGGCGCTGCCTCCCCCTGGCCGCCGGCACCCGGCTCGCCCTCCCCGCCGCGGGGCTCGGCGCCGGGCTCCCCCCCGGCCGGGGTGCGGCGCGTGCGGGTGGTGAAGGCGGAGGCGGGCGGGCTGGGCATCAGCATCAAGGGCGGGCGCGAGAACCGCATGCCGGTGCTCATCTCGCGCATCTTCCCGGGGCTGGCGGCCGAGCGCTGCGGGGCGCTGCACCTGGGCGACGCCATTCTGGCCGTCAACGGCATGGACCTCCGCGACGCCACCCACGACCAGGCCGTGCAGGCACTCAAGCGGGCCGGCCGGGAGGTCCTGCTGGAAGGTAAGTGCCGGCGCTCTGCACGCGCCCAGGGGCCGCGCGGCTCGCGGGGTGGGGTGGGGGGCAGCCGGCCGCCCCGTCGGCGCCCCGGGAACCCTCCCCGGGGCCCGCCGGCTTCGTCCCGGAGCTCAACGGGCAGCCGGTCTGGGGCTGCGGGGAGGCGGCGACCCAGGCAGAGCCGGACACCCGGGTGCCGCTTGGGCTTGGCCTCGAGGCCCCCAGTGCCCCCCCCCGCAAGCAGCCTCTGTACCCCCGCCTCTCGCCTGCTTGGCTGCTGGAGGAGAGGGAGGGAGCGAGCGCAGCCCCCCTTCGAAGCCCTAATTCGACACGTCGTCGGGAGCGGCTGGACCAACACGCGCCGCTCAGTAAATCCAACGACTTGGGAAACGGCGGAGTTTCCTTTCAAAGCGGAATTTCCCACTTCTCGGTCCGCTTTGGGCCAGACTCCGGGAAGGGCAGAGCGGCATCGGGCTCCCGGTCTTAGGCCAGCCTTGCAGCCCCATCAGGAAACCCGATTAGCCTGCCCAGAACAGGCTAGGAGCCGGAGATGTGATCACGGTCAGTGGGGCGCCTCATGAAGGCCCGACCTACCTCGGTGCGGTCTGCTCCTCTGGCTGTTGGTGTGGGAGAAGCGGGTGCTCCCACCTCGCCCAGCTGCAGAAGGCAGCAACTCTGATCAAATTCCAGGGACAGGTCGGCTGTCAGGATGCTTTTCCCCAAAGCCCATCTTTTCTCTTGGTATTAGATGTCTGGTGTGTTATTTGGGGGGACAATGCAGCTCCCAGAAGCCCCTGGCGAGTACAGGGCTGATCACCCTGCAGGAGAGTGGCAGGTGGGCCACCTTAGCACCTGGCAACGCTCTTCAGCCTCTCTTTAATTGTCGTTCGGCTTCAGCTATTAAGAAGTGGGGCAGCCGCCTCTTTATCTGGGGCGTGATTCTGTCTCTGGGAATGCAGGGCGAAAGCTGGAAGATGTCTGCGCTACGCAAGGGGTTGGCGGGGCTGATGCCATGTACACCTGTCGCTTTCCAGCTCTTATGAACTCTTTGTCTTGGGGCATTGCTTGGTTGGGCTCCGCTCCTTGGCCTATATGTGTCTTTCGTGGGTCCAGTAAGTGGTCCCACAGGGGCAGGATGGGCTCCCTGCTGTAACTCATAGCCTCTCAGGTGAGGCCAAGTTTGGGTGCTGAGGGATGACCCTTTTGGGAGTGGACGCAAAGAACAGCAATGCTGGAGACTGGATTTCGGGAGTAACCAAAGCAGCATTTTTCAGTGCTGTTCCTCCTTTTGGAACACAGCCTGCCTTTCTCCACCTCTCTTGGATAAGAACTATTATCTCCCCCTTCTGCCCCCATCAGCCCAGTAACAGAAAAGAAAGTGGGGCTCTTTGTGGGAAGTCTGCAAAAGTTTTTGTAATAGCAGGGACTTTGAAGGGGACCCCAAATCTTGAGGAGGACTGTCCTTCATTGCCCTGTGATAGAAGGCTGGGCTTAGTCTTTGCTGACCTTTGGGAGTCGACAGGTGAAGCACTGAGGGCCTTTCTGTGCATCGGCCCCTCAGTTGGCCCTGGCTTTGGGGCCAGGCTTTTCTCTAAGTCTCCCCACTTCATGCACTGCCTGCAGCTGGGGGGGAGGCTCTGCTCAGGATCTCCCCAGTTTGGCTCATCCCTTTTTCTCCTAGTTCCTACGCCCTGTAAACGTGTCTGGCTGGGAAAACGTATGGAAATGCAGCACCTCCTTGAGGGAGGGTGGTGGGAAGGGTGATGGGAGGGGGGGCTTGTGGGGAGCCGGAAGGTCCCACCCGGCCGCTGCTCTCCCTCCCTCCCTCCCTCCCTCCCTTCGGCTTCCCCTGCTTGGCCCTCTGGGAGACCTGCAGGGTCTCCTGCCACTCGGTGCTCTTTGCACCTGAAAGGCAGCTACGGACTGAGAGCAGGACGTGTTTCTTCAGTGGGGGGGAAGGGGGCTGGGCTGTGCATTTCTTGCCCCCCATGCAAAATGCCAAATGTTGTGAAAACTTCCAGAAAGCTTTCCTCTCGCTGAGCTGTGGCTCTTCCTTGGCTGCAGCCACTCCGGATAATGGTGGCTGAGGCCAGCTGGGCTCCGTCTTCATGGGAGCGAATGGTGCGGCCTCTGAGGGCCGCCTTGGCCTCCTTAGAAAAACAAAGGTTCCTGTGGTTGCAAGCGAAGGTCCTTAGAACTTTCCTCAAGAGACCAAGAATTTGGACGGCCTTCGGGGTCTTTGCAGCTGAAAGGGTCACTGTTAGGGCGGTGAAGCCCTGAGACCAGACCGTCCTCTGGGCCTCTTCAAACTGTGGCTCTGTCCAGGTTGAGCCTTCTTTTTGAGTCACTTATCTTGGTTCTTCGTGGGCAGCTGACCCAGAAGACTTTTCTTGAGAGGCCTAAATGTTTCCGTTCTTCGACAGGATCCATTAAGCCCCTCCTCTCTCCTGCCTTTCAGTCCAAGGGGCTTTTTTGAGGGCTGCTGCTGCTGAATAAAACACTTTTGCTCTTGCAAACCCGTAACAGGGTGACCAGCTCTGATTTATCCTTCCCAGCTCTTGAGTCATTGGCTGGCTGCTGTTCCTTGGAGCTGGCTGGAGAGGAGTCCAAAGGCCTGCTGGGCAAAGGAGGATAAGGAAGTTTTATGCATGGGGATACTGGAGAGCCCACATCTGGTAGCCAGCTGTGGAGCTCCTCTTCTGTTGAAGGGGCCTTCTTCCTAGGAGGGGCCTTTCCCATCCACTCTGCTCCCTCCTCCCCCTCCCATCCTGTCCGGGGGCGGGGTGAGCCTGAGCTGCTTGGCTGGAAAGCTCCCCCTGGGCCACTGAGGCAGCTGTACGTGAAGCTCTGACCCTCCCCCTGCCCTCCTTTGCACAGGCCTGGAACCCCACTGGACAGGCTGGGTGCTAGGACAGCAGGCAGCCCCCCCCCCCGCCACTGGCCCCTGTTAAGGGTGTGCCCTACTGCCACTTATAGGGCTGTCCTGGTTGATAAACAGCTGTAAATACCTGCCCTGCTCTTGCCTCATTGGTGACTTGGGGGAGGGGTCTTAATGTTGGGCCAGCCCGTTGGTCCTTCCAGACAGAAATAAGCTCCTTTATTTTTTATGTGTTTTTTTTATGTCTTTGGAACCTGCCATTGCTTCAGACCTCCCTGGAGGTGGTGGGGCCCCTCCGCCTGGCAGAGTTGCTCAGGAGAGTTAAGTTTAAACAAAGAGCTTCAAAAGTTTGGTTAGCCTCCCTGCCTTTTAGGGCTGCAATGTCTGGATGTATATTGTCAGCCCATGATGGCAAGCTGATCCGAGGAATGCGGAGCTCTCCTTGTGTGCCACGGATTTGCATGGGGAAACAGAGACGGCATTTCCCCTGGCCCTGCTTCAACCGGAGGTGGATGAGAAAGCAAGTGGCTGGCTCCGGATGTCCTTTCCTGGTACCCCCATGCCAGCTGCTTCCTCTCTGCACATAGCCTTGGCTCGGTCCTCATCAGGAGACCCAAAATGACCCTCTGGGACAGGGAGATCCTCCTGGGGAGAGCAGCCCAACAGAAAAATTGTTTGCTTAGGTCATTAAAACTTTATTTTCTGCTAAAAAATGGAGATGGTTGTGTTTATTTAGAAGTTACTTCTTCACCACTCTAGGACTGCTGTTCCACTAGCTGATCTTCCTAAAGGATTAGTGGGATTTCGAGAGTTTTCTTAAGGTTTTGTTTAGCACGTGCTGGAGTTTTATGTGGCTGCCAGGCATGTTTCTGCTTCGCAAGCTGGGGCTCATGTTTATCAGCTGCATCTGTTTGCAGATAATTGATCCACATTTTCATTCTCTTTTGGACATTGGCTCTTTGCATTGCTTCTGACCAAGAACTCATTTAGCCAAACTTGTAAGCAGACACAACAACAGCATGTTTTCAAGGCTAACCCAGATTGTGAGCCATTTGCAACCAGATCAAAGGCCTCCTCTACTAACTGCATCTTTGCTGCCCCAGAAACCACCCACTGCTGCTGCCTCTGGACCTGCACTCTGGGGGCAGGTAAAACTTCCCTGCAGCTTTTCCTTTCCTTGCTGGAGCCAAGATGTCTCCCGGGTGCCAACTGTCCCTTGCAGAGTGGGATTAGAAGCCTGGCTGTGCACTAATCCTCTCTGGACAGCAGCAGGGTGCAGAGCTGATCCCTGAAGTAGCACCCTGGGTAGGGCTGCTCTCCTTGCCAGGCAGGTGGGGGACTGCCCCAGAGGGAGTACGGTTGGCCTCCCCACTCCTCTTTGCTGCTGCCACCGCTGCCTGGCAGGGCAGTCAGCATTGAGCAGCTCAGAAGTGGGGAGCTGGGCTGATGTTGGGCAGCGTTGTGGGAGACCCCTCCTCTGGAGTAGAGCACCAGGTCTTTGGCTGGCTGCCGTGCTCTTCAGGGGGGCATCTGGAAGTCCCGCCCGTCCCCAGTTGCCTTTGCGTTGAGCATCATGATGAGTCCCTGTCAGGCAATGGTGGTAGTGAAATGGCCACTCCTCCGCCTGGGAGTACCTGCAGGCAGAGGGCGAAGGGGCTTTCCTCCGTACATTCGCCAGGCGGTGAGAGAGGCAGGAGGCAAAGCAGGATTGGCCTTGCAAGAGCCCATCTTGACATCTGAGACTTCCCTGAGGTCACTGCCTGCCCTTCCTTTAAGGTGAATCCAGGGGGAGTGGGTGGGTCGATCTTTGACCTGGGTTCAGCCCGAGGGGAGCCCCCGAGGGGTCGCTCTGTGGGGCCTTGAGCATCAGGACGGGAAACGCTCAGCCCCTCCCTTCTCGGCCTGCTCTTAGTGAAATACATGCGGGAGGCAACTCCGTACATCAAGAAGCCGTCGCTGGTGTCCGACCTGCCGTGGGACGGGGCCTTTCCGCACTCTCCCAGCCTCAGCCTCAGCGAGGAGTCTGGCTCCCCAAAGCACCAGAGCGCCCCCCAGGATCGCAAAATCATCCCCTTGAAGATGTGCTACGCTGCCAGGAACCTGAGCATGCCGGACCTGGAGAACAGGTCAGGGGGTGGGCAAGCAGAAGGTTTTGCAGGGCAGCAGTTGTCTCCTTACATGAGGACTAGCAACTTGGATTGGCTTCCAGGGTGCAGCTAGAAAGGCCCTTCCCAGATCCTTTCAAGGTTGCAGCCCTGCAGCCTCTCTCAGGGAGGGGTGGGGGACCAAAATCTGATACCTGTCTGCCCCCTCCATCCAGAAGACATGTTTTGGAATGGATGGTCTGGTTATGCAGAGACAGCCCATCCTCTGGACATGGGCGTGTTGTGCCACCTGCACCCAGACCTGCCGCTTGCACAGAAAGGCTCCGGGGCGACCCTGGCAGCTGTGGCATTGCAGCCGGGAGTCCTCCTGCTAAGCAGGGCTGTTTTGGGGTGGCAGCAGAGCCATCACTGGAGGGGCCCCCTCTTTCCCTGGCTATCAGCCCAAAGGCTTCCTGGGGTGGGGGGCAGGGACAGAGTATGAGTGTTCCTCCACAGGGTGCCGCCCTAATCCCTGGCGAGGGGGGGGAGGGAGGGGAGGTTTGAGCCCCAGCCAGGCAGGCAGAACGGAGGAGGCAGTGCCAGTCATCCCTGCTTCCTCTGCTCCTTGCCGTCTTGGGTTTCAATCCATATGGCCGCTCCTGAGAATTCAGAAGGGGGGCAGGAATTGTGGATGGGGGAGCCCCTGCCAGCCCCACACCCAAATGGCTTTTGCAGACCTGGCTGCCCCCAGAGCAGTCCGGCCCTCTCCTGGGTCAGTGGCCCTTCAAGGCCCCTTTTGCCTGCTGCCACCTCACCATAGGGGGAGGGGGCCACACTCCTCCCCTGAGAAGAACTGGAGAGGCCAAAAGGAACCTGGAAGATGAGGGATGGAGGCCCCCCCCCTCCTTTCAGTGGATCTGCCTTTTCTCTGCAGGCTGATTGAGCTGCACTCACCCGACAGCCGGAACACCCTGATCCTTCGCTGCAAGGACACGGCCACGGCGCATTCGTGGTTCATGGCAATCCACACCAACATCATGGCTCTCCTCCCACAAGTCCTGGCTGAGCTCAACGCCATGTTGGGGGCCAGCCACACGGCAGGCAGCAGCAGAGAGGTCAAGCAGATCGCCTGGCTGGCTGAGCAGGTGAGCCCCTCACCCGGCACCTCTGTAAGGCTCGCTTTTTTCTGGCGGGCAGCCGGGGGGAGGGGAGGGAAGTGATCCGGCTGGGAGGCCGCTGAAGCCTTCTTTGGCCAGAAAGTAACCATCCCCCCCCCGAGCAACCTTCAGGTGCAGAAGCATCTCTGACCACTGAAAAGAAGAGGTGAGTGGGTCTGTGTGAGGTGCCCTTATCTGAATTTGCTCCTGATCCTTGTCAATAAGCAGCTCTCCCACAAGGGTGGCCGTCTTGTCCTGAGCCCCTCTATGTGGCCTCTTGTTAGCCCTAGGCCCCAGCTTCCCCGTGAACACCTCAGCCCACCCTTTCATCTCTCTCCGCTTCCTGCAGGCCAGACTTGACGGTGGGCGGCAGCATTGGCGGCCGATCCTCTTGGCTGTGACGGAGAAGGACCTGCTGCTCTTCGACTCCGTGCCCTGGACAAGGGACGCCTGGGCCTCTCCCTGCCACAGCTACCCACTGGTGGCCACCAGGTGGGGGAAACCTGAGGGTCTCTCCAGGCTGAAGCCATGCACAAGGCCTTCCGGAAGGGGAGGGGGCATGAACACCTCCTGGAGTCAGCTGTCATCAGCCTCTGGGAGAGCAGCCGGCTTCTGGGTGTGGTTGGCATGGTCTGGGGCTCTGATCTGGCAGGGCGTTTAGTTCTTATGAAGCCCCAGGGTGGTCTTGCCTTCTGGAGCCCCCTGCCCATCGCCTCCTGCAATACCTTGCCTGGGAAATTTCTACCAGCGTTCTGGAGGCAGGAAAGTCCCAGATTGCTTCCTGCAACCAGAAAAGCCGCAGGCAGCTGTTTCCCCCTGTTCCCCTGCGCCAGGTGAAGCGGAGTTGTGGGGCGGGGGGGGGATTGGCTGCCAACTCAGGCAGAAAAGTCTTATTGGGGATCCTTGCCTGCCTTCCTCCCCCCCCCGGTTCCCCCCCCTGGTCCTCCAGGACTGGCCTCAAAGCTGCCAAAGAGGAAAGGGCTGCACTTGCTCCTCCCTTTCATTTGGCTTCAGCCTTTGTACTTGGCCTGTGCAAGAGGAAGCTGGCGCTTTCCCTTGTGCAGGGGAGAGCGAGGGGAGGGGCGGAGGGGGGAGCTTTCAGGCCTTTCCCCACAGGCTTCTGCATGGGTTTAGTAGGAGGTTTAGCTCCAAGGGAGGGGTGGGGGCGGCTGGCAGAGACTTGGCGAGACTCCCTCAGGTTGCCTCTCCAGTGCCCAAAGTAATTCTTCTGCTAATGGGATGCTGCTCTGTGGCCTGTCCACTCCCCCAGCTGGGGTTCTTTCATGATCTTTGGTGAGGAGAACAGGGCGCAGTGGGGGTGGGCTTCAGGGAGAGTCTCTGCAATAGAGAAAGGACCCCCCCTAGTATTTCTGCAATCCCTCTGGGACGGGGGGGAGGCTTATTCAGAGCAAGTCACCCCCAGTTTGCAACTACTGCTCCTTCGCCCTCCCCTCAGGCTGGTGCATTCAGGCTGCAAGTTGCCCTGCCTGGGATCAGACCTCACCTTTGCCACGCGGTCAGGGTCTCGCCAGGGCATCGAGATGCACGTTTTCCGTGTGGAGACCCACCGCGACCTCTCCACCTGGACCAGGACTCTGGTGCAAGGCTGCCATGCTGCTGCAGAGCTTGTCAAGGAGGTCTCCGTAGGTATGGCCTGGCTGTCCAGCCTTGAGGACCATGGCCCCTCCTCTCTTGAACCCCTGGAGGAGGCCCAGGCGGTCAGTCTAGTAAACGGGATGGAGAGATTATGCCCACCAGCTACAGTGTTGGCACCATTGACAACAAGAACGATGGGAGTAGATGGTGGGGTGGGAGTCCCTGCCTTGAGAAATTGGCAGCCTAAGGTGGGCTGAGCGAGTCCCAGCCTCCAAGGGTCTTTGGCCCAGCCATCGGAGGGAGAACCTGCTTCTTTAATGTGGCCACATTGCCTAGGCTGGGCAGCGCTTTCTCTCAAGCAGACCAGGCATCTCCTGTTGAAGTAAACATTACACACACACACACACACACACACACACACACACACACACACACACACACACACACGCCCTGCCTGCCCTGGTCCCTCTGAATCAATTGCTGCTCTTCTGGACTTGAAGGGCAGAAGGTGAGGACCAGCCCTGGACAAAAAGATCCAGGCTGGAGATGGGCAAAGCAAGCCTGAGCCCGGTTGACCCATGGGGTGGCCCTCCCCTCCTGACCACGGAGGCTCTGCTTTCTGTCTTTCGGCCTAGGCTGCATCTGGAACAGGCAGGACATTCGACTCACAATCCACTATGAAAACGGCTTCACCGTGTCCAACGAGGGAGCTGGTTCTACCAGTATCCTTCTCCGATACCCTTTTGAGAAGCTGAAGATGTCTGCTGACGATGGGGTCCGAAACCTGTACTTGGACTTTGGCGGCCCGGAGGGGGAACTGGTGAGTGGCTAGTTGTGAGTCGTAAGGAGAGACCCATCATCTGGCGACGTTTGCCTGAACAGGGGCTGTGGATTTAGGCAAATTCCTGCAGTTCTGTTGAAGAATAAAGGAGGAGGGCCTTTTGCTCTCACACCCAAGGGAGGAGACGACCACAGAAATGGAACATTAAAAATGATCACCACCCATAACCAGAAAGCCATCTGAGCTTAGAGGTTTGGCTACACCTGGGCCATGTCTTTAATTTTGTGTGGGATGAAGGGGTCAATGCTGGTCTTTGAAATGGCAGGGGATGATCGTCTCTCCCTCACATGTTCTCCTCCTCCACAGGCCCTGGAACTGCACTCCTGCCCCAAGCCCCTGGTCTTTGTCCTGCACACCTTCCTGTCGGCCAAAGTGACCCGCCTGGGCCTCCTGGCCTAGCCACAGCCGCCGCCGCTGCAGCTGCCACACGTGGTTCCTGGCTTTGCAAGGGTCCCATCTGCCAGCCTCAGTGCCTTGACTGGACTTAGAACGGTCCCATCTCTCCCCTTCTGAAGGGCTCTGGGGAGGCTGCAGCCATAAACCCTTCGCCTGGTCAGGGCAGGGCAGAGAAGGAGCAATTCTCTGGTGGGATCATGTGAAGCCATCGTTCTGTTCCACTTACCAGATGTGCCTTTCGGTGGAGGCCGGGAAGAGAAAGGAAGCCTCCTCCCAGAACAAGCAGAGCCGTGCCTTATGTGCCCAGCTTGCCCCTGACGTGCCCAAGTCATGTGCTGCTGCTGTGGGAGGGTCAGAGACAGCCTGGGGGTTGCTGTGCAGTTGCTGCCAGGTTCCAAATCAGAAGCCCCCCCCCCCCAAAGGCTGGGGAGATGCCCTCTCGTTCTGGTCAAGAGTCCTCTCCAATTCTAGTTTTAATCCCAGAACCAGTAAAAGATGCAGCCTTAGCTTAAGAGATTCTTTTCAGCATCAGAAAAAGTCTGATTCAGAAACCAGCACAGGGAAAATGTTTGAGTAGCTTTCTTTGAGCATCTCCAGCTTGCTATGCAGAGCCCATCCCTCTTACTACAAAGGGAGATGCTCTTTGAAGCAGGTTGACTGGCTCCCTTCCCTATTTTGACATTGACTGTTACACTAGAGTAGCCTGAATCACAATTTTTACTATTTATCTTCTGCAGAACCTCCCGCAGCTAAGTGACTGTATGAACAATTCCTAAGGGGTCACTTAAAAAAATACTCAGCATCTGCTAATGCAGAGCCAGTAAGGAGGCCACCACCAAGCCACAAAATAGACTCTCCTTTCCCCTCAAACCCAGAGGGACCCTCTTGTCCCTCTGCAACAAAAGGAGTTTGGTCTCTTGATACAAAAGTTCTGTCATCTCCCCAAACTCCTTCTGGGCACATCACCAGTGAAAGGCAATGGAGGCATTCAGTGTTTCTTGCTCTCCTGAGGAAAGAAATGAAATTGTAACCCTTGAGTGGTGCCCTGGTTCTTATCTCGAAGAAGCAGAGAGCCCAGCGGGGGGGGGGGGAGTGTCCATGGGATGCCCCCAGTTCTGGCTTCAGTGGAGGGTGTATGAAGGAGGTGCTACTTGCACCTCTGGCATCCAAAGATTGGGGGTTCAGGCCTCCGTCTCAGGACTTGCAAAGAGGGCCGGGCAGGGATCTTGTCATGGGGGCCCAGGAATAGAACCAGAGGTTGCTGCCTCCACGGCTCCTGGTATCTGTAGTCTGGGATGGGTCTTGGGCATCAATTGGAAAGCCCTCTCCTCTGACCTTTCAGCCTCCATCCTTTTAGACCTCTTGGCCCAGCTGAAGGAGGCTTCCTGACCCCTCCTGTGAAGGATTTGGGCCCTCTAAGCAAAGAGGAAGGCTGGCCCTGGCCCTCAGGCACTTGTCCTGGGTGTCCGGCTGCTCTATTAGGGCTGGAATTTGGACTGCAGGGCCTGTTCAGAGAAACCTCAAGGCTAGTAAGGACCGTTCCAGGCCCTTTTCTGTATTAAAAGCCAATATTTAATGGTGCTGGAGTCACTTTCTGAAGAGAACCTTTTCTCAGTCACCTTCAGTTGGGTGTAACCAGCTTCCCTTCCTTCCAGGGCTGAAGGAGTTGCAGCCGATCATTTGCTGCTCATGTCCAGTGGCCAGACTGGGAATTCAGGGTTGCTGCCAGGGGCCCCCTTACATGTTTCAGAAAAGGGCCCCTGGTACCCACGTGGAGGTGATGTAAGGCTGCGGGCATTTGCTGGCTAGGGGGGTATGAATGTATAGCATTGAAGGAGGAAATCTGGCTGGCATTAGCAGGTTTTCAAATGGTGCTTTTATATCACAGTGATGAACTATTATTACCAAATTGAGACACAAATTTAAAAATACAGGTTAGGAAGTGCAGCTTGATTGTCACACACTCACCCTTTTTTACATAGCACTTTTCCTAGCAATGCCAGATTCAGTTTTTCAGCCCAAGGATGTTTTGCAACTACAGGAGGCTGCTCCACTGAGAGTTTAGACCCTGAATTGATGTGGAGCATAGAGCTGGGTTAGGAGAGTAAGTTCCATCAGTGGAGAATTTGGGGTGGGAGATCAGCCGATTTTTGGGGTTTCTTCTTGCTAATGTTTTGTAGGCCCAGGAAAAACTTCTAATTCATTAACTTAATTACTGAAGCAGGGTGGCACCTTTTGCCAAGCGGATATCTTTGTTCAATGAGACAAGTGACTCGCTGCGGTTTCCCATCTTCTGTCAGATGTCGGGAGTTTACAGATAGGGCAAACACAACTGTTATAGGCCCAAAGTGCCAAAGAGGTCTTGAAAGTGTGCACAGAAATCACTACAAGTGAGTATCTGTGTTAACGCTGTGCAAAGCTGTATGTCTGTGTGGGTATGCTGTTTGTTATAATCTAATGTGGAGTATTGCAACAGAGATATGCCGTCACAAATTTTAAACTAGCTTTATTTTTTTATTCTTTGTACATGGTATTTATACAATTACTTGCTTTTCCAATGATTTTAAATGCAATTTTGGGGGGTCTCCAGGTCCTCAAGCGGCAATATTTGGACCATGTCTGATCTTCGCCAGCAGAGAAATTCTTGCCGAGCTCTGCAGAAAACCTGGGTGCTCCTGGCCCGAGTTACACTTCACTGTATCGCATTTTTCATTACAATGAAAAGCAACGAAGGGCAGGTGTATAATAAAATATTAGTTTTAGCCTCGACTGCTTCTTTGTCTTTGGAGGGAAGTGAATTGGAGGTGGGAGAAGAAAAATGGAGAGGGGAAGGGGGGGAGATGGAGGCATAGGGCATGGGAGGCGCAGGAATTGGGGACCTCCCTGGTCCCCGCCGAGGACGGAGCCCGTGGCCCTCGGGCGTGGAAGGAGGGCCCTGGGTGACCTCCCCGAAGAAGCGGGAAGAGCTGCAGCGGCGGCTCTTCTCTGCGCTCGGTAGGTCAAGGTGGCACGACGACCCCCCCCCCCCCGAGGTGGACCAAGCCGTTCTTCGAGAAGGCCGCTTGCTTCGCCGGCGTCGCCGCGTTACGCGCTCGGGGCGCCGCTGGAAGGCGAGCAAGGCCGGGGCGGCCGGGCGACCCAGACGAAGCGGCAGCAGCAGCGCTCAGGCCGCGGACTACGACTCCCATCGGCCCGCGCGCCAGCCCGCCCCCGCGCGCTGCTGTTCCCGCGCCCGCCAGCAGGGGCGCTCTGCGGGCTAAGGCCGCAGCCCCTACGCCGCCGCCGCCGCCCTCCGCACCGGAGCCCCCGCCGCCGCCGCCGCCAGTGCCCGGGCCACAGGGATGCGATGACCACGTCCGCCCTGCAGGTGCCTCCGTTGCCGCCGTCCGGGCCACGCGCGCCGCTCCTGGCTCGAGGCCTACCGAGCCGCCCGGCGACGGGCCCGCCCGGCCTTCGGCTTCGGGGCGGCCGCGGGCTCTGCCTGCTCAGCTCACGCGGTGGTCGCGAACTTCTGCGCGAAGCAGCGGGGCTCTCGGAGACGCCCCCGGGGGGCGCAGCCCCCCCCTCAATTGCGCCCGCCCAGTTTGGCTGCCGCGGGGCCTGTGTGCCCCCCGCCCAGCCTCCCTTCGGGCCGGGACCCCCGGCGATCCCGGTCCGGCCTGCTCCCGCTGCCCCCCCCCCGCAGTGGCTCCCGCGGGGCCTCCCCGGCAAGAGCGGAGGATGCCGTGGAGGAATGGGCACCGCGGAAAAGCCCTCGAAGGCGGTCTCGGGTGCCGAGCTCCGGGGCGCCGCGGGAGAAGAGAAGGGGGCCCGCCCGGCTCCTCTCCCGCGGCCCCGCCGGCCCCCGCCGCCCTCCTGAGCGCCGCTGTCTTTCCAGAAGGCCATTGACCTGGTCACGAAAGCCACCGAGGAGGACAAGGCGGGCAGCTACGCGGAGGCGCTGCGCCTGTACCAGCACGCGGTGGAGTACTTCTTGCACGCCATCAAGTGTGAGTCCGGGACGCGGGCAGGGCGCCCCCAGCAGGGCCAGTTCCGAGGGCGGAAGGGGCCCTGGGTCCGCCCGCCCGCCCATCCACCGGGTCTCCCCTCCTCCCCCCGCAGATGACACGCACAGCGACAAGGCCAAAGAGAGCATCCGGGCCAAGTGTGCCCAGTACCTGGACCGGGCGGAGAAGCTGAAGGACTATTTGCGGAACAAGAGCAAGCAAAGCAAGAAGCCGGTCAAGGAGGCCCAGAATGACAGCAAGGGGTAAGGGCTGGGTGGGGGCAGGAAGGCTACGGGGAGATCACCTGGGGGCCCTGCCAAAGCCAACCGGAGAGCAGCGCCTACTCTGCTCGTGCCCTTTGAATGTCTTCCTCTGCAGCAGCGACAGTGACAGTGAGGGCGAGAACCCGGAGAAGAAGAAGTTGCAAGAGCAGCTGATGGGTAAGCCAGAAGGCTGGGGGCCTCGGAGACCACTCTGCGAGGGAGGGGGTGAGCACTCAGCTCAAGTCTCTTGGGCAAACTGGCTTGGTTGCAGGTGCCATTGTGATGGAGAAGCCCAACGTGCGATGGAACGACGTAGCAGGCCTGGAGGGGGCCAAGGAGGCCCTAAAGGAAGCTGTCATTCTACCCATCAAATTCCCTCACCTGTTTACAGGTGAGACCTGGGGGTCCCTCCCCGCGTTCTTTGGGAAGTTTGGGGATGAGTGAGGCCATCTTCTCTCCTCGGCCAGGCAAGCGCACACCCTGGCGTGGGATCCTCCTCTTCGGCCCTCCAGGAACTGGGAAGTCCTTCCTGGCCAAAGCAGTGGCCACTGAGGCCAGCAACTCCACCTTCTTCTCCATCTCATCTTCAGACCTGATGTCCAAGTGGCTGGGGGAGAGTGAAAAGTAGGTGTGGGAGGCAGGACTCCCTCTGTGGGGTATTGGCCCTTGGAGAAGTGGGTCCAGGGGTGAAATGAGGCACCCTGGTGGGTCTCCATAGGGAGTTTGCTTCCACCCACTTGGGCATCCTGCATGTGGGCCAGTCTCTGCAGGCTGTCCTGACCCTCCCCTCACTCTGCCCGGCTTCCTCTTCAGGCTGGTGAAAAACCTCTTTGAGTTGGCCAGGCAGCACAAGCCGTCCATCATTTTCATTGATGAGGTGGACTCCCTGTGCGGCTCCCGCAATGAGAACGAGAGTGAAGCTGCTCGCAGGATCAAAACAGAATTCCTGGTGCAAATGCAGGGTGGGTGATGGGGACGGGCGCCGGGGCAGCAGTCCAGCTGCTTGCTCTGACTAGAGTGGCCGCTACTCTCAGGCCATTGGCCAGACAGATCCTGGAGCGTGGGGTCTGTTCTCTCCAGAAAGGGTGACATGGGGCACTTTTCTTTTTTCTCAGGTGTTGGGAATAATAATGATGGCACTTTGGTCTTGGGCGCCACCAACATCCCCTGGGTATTGGATGCTGCCATTCGGAGGAGGTGGGTGATAGCAGTGTGTGCATGGGTGAGTTCAGCCTGGCAGAAACCAAATAATGTTGCCATCACATTTTGCATAAGTAGAAATCGCTGAAATTCAGGTACACAGGGAACAGATTATAGTTCTCTGAATAAGAAAGTTAAATGGGAAAAAGTCTTCCTGCTTACGTCCCTTTCATAAGTTAGTTCCGCAACCTCACACAGCAGGTATATTTTGTGGCGTTTAAAGTCAGCGTTAGATGATGTGTGATTTCCACCCTTCATAGTTCTGGCTATAATGCTGAGCTGTGTGTGCCGCACCAGGTGCAGCACATAGCCAAGCTTTGGCTGGCTTGAAAAGTACTCGGGCTGCAGGCAATCCCACGTGTGGGGCCAAGAACAGGCATCCTGTAAAAATATCTTCATAGACAAGCGTCATCCATGTAGTCCTGAAGTGAACAGGAATTGAGATCCGTTTTATTTACTAATACAAGAAACACAAAAACAATCTAAACAGTGTCTAACCTTTTTACTAACCTCTTGGCCAAATGCAGTTAGCTGAAATCATCAGGGGCAGATGGAGGAGTAGGGTTGACACCGGCACACACCTCAGTTATAGCAATGGGCAAAAGGGTGGGATACACACATGCACGGAGGCACACCCATGCCACACAACCCGGCGTTGGAGATTGACCCATGCATTCCCTCCTTTGCACATAGGTTTGAGAAACGCATTTACATCCCGCTTCCAGAGGAGCTGGCTCGTGCCCAAATGTTTAAGCTACACCTGGGCAACACCCCCCACAGCCTGACTGAAGCTGACATCCATGAGCTGGCCCGAAAGACAGACGGCTACTCAGGGGCTGACATCAGCATCATTGTGCGGGATGCCCTGATGCAGCCAGTCCGCAAAGTGCAGTCAGCCACGCACTTTAAAAAGGTGAGGCTGGCAGGGATCTGGCCAACTACTGTGCAGTATCTTGATGCCCTTTGGTGCAGAGCAGAGCTCTTTGGCCATGAAAGGGATGAGCTCTGCCCACATTTCTTTGTGCTGGTTCACCCATTGCCTGCCCACCCGAATCCAATTCTTTCTGTGGGGAGGATTACCTGAACACGGCAAGCATTGTCCCCATCATTCAATGGGAGTAGTTGGACTCCAAGATTGGAGCATTGCCATGGCCTCCGAGGAAGGCCTCTGGTCTGGCAGGAGAGCTCCAAGAGCAACTCACTCCCTTTTGCCGTCTTCATCACGATCTTGGACTGCTGTTACTGGAAAGCAGAGGTTGATTGACGGGTGGCTTGCCTGCCAGCCTATTCTTTTCCCGGACTGTGAGTTAGACGCTGATTCTGACAACCCTCCTGATCTGCCTACTGCTTGCATCCTTACTGCAGGTTCATGGACCATCTCGCACCAATCCTGGTGTGCTGGTAGATGACCTGCTGACTCCTTGTTCCCCAGGGGATCCTGGGGCCTTTGAGATGACCTGGATGGAGGTGCCTGGAGACAAACTTCTGGAGCCCTTGGTCTGCATGGTGAGTGATTGTGACAAAACCCCTTTCCTCCCCTGCCCCTGGCTTAGGCAAAACTCTGCGACGACACACCCAGTGCTTCTGTGTGGAATGTGGGTCCACAAAGCGGGACTGAGCACCAGGCTAAGTGAGGGTATAAAGCAGATGTGAAATTCAAGGCCTGCATGCAGATCCGGCCATGGGGGGTTTAAATCTGGCCCTCAAGTAGACTAGTAGGAGAAGGTGATTGAGTCTGTAGTGGGGTATGTGTGTATGACCTGAAGCACTGGCAGTGCCAGAGAAGCCTGGGGGAGAGTCAGATGGAGCTGGGGCTCTGCTGAGGCCCCGGGATTGGTGCACATGGCTCCAGCTGATCAGGGCTTCCGGGGCTTCGGGGATGGTCGGCAGCCGCAAGCAGTCTTTGGATGGAGAGTCAGCTGGAGCTGCCAGGGATTGGTGGGGACCCCAGAATCAGCACACTCAGCTCCAGCTGATGAGTGCTGTGTGAAAAAGCCTGCCGGGCAGTGAGTGAACGCATGGGGGAGGAGAGGATAGGATATAAAACTAGGGGTTTAGGCGGGGAGGAGTGAGGGGGGAGAGAAGGCGATAGGGAGATGTCAGTGGGACCAGCCTGAGGGAGAGAAGGGGACATCAACTGGCCCTTTCAGGACAACCATAATGCTGATGTAGCCCTCAGTGAAATTGAGTTTGATACCCCTGGTATAAAACATCAATCCAGGGCCCCCTTATGTTGGAGGGAATACTGCTAAGATGCTGGAGGCTTGGGGGTTCTGAACGTTCCCTCTCTTTGCAGTCAGATATGTTGCGCTCGCTGGCCACCACCCGCCCCACGGTCAATGCAGAAGATCTCCTGAAGGTGAAGAAGTTCACAGAGGACTTTGGCCAAGAGGGCTAATGCTGTACCTATGGGACGCCCCATTGTTAGGTGGGAGCAGCCAAGGGCCCATTTTCCTGGCCAGGAGCAGAACAGGCCAAGAGTGGCTGGTGGACTCTGCCATGCAGAAGCTTCGTTCTCCACCTGTCTCCGCTGGGGCATCTCTGGCTGGGGATGGAAGGGAGTCCACTGGGGGTACCAGGGGATAAGAGTAAGCCTGACTCGGCCTGCTGTGTTTTTCTTCCCTTCAAATACTCCATCTTTCTGGTTTTTTTCTTTTATTTCTGATGCTTAGTTTCAAAAATAAAAGCAACCCAACTCCCTTCTGTTCCCAGCCATTTTATCAGCCCTCCCCGCCGTGAGTCCAGTTCTGCTCCCCAAAGAAAGGCCAGGGGTTCTCCCAGAGCCTTCTTTCCTTCTCCAGTGCTGTTGTGCCTCACCTCAAGTTCATTTGGGGAAAAGGGTGTCATTCTGCCAAACTTGTATGATGCTATTTTACTGAGTTCTGGTAAGTTTTGTAAATGTTCAGTTTCTGTCCACTCCAAACCTTATGCTAGTGGTGGCGAACCTAGGGCATGGGTGCCAGAGGTGGCACTCAGAGCCCTCTCTGTGGGCACTCGCGCCGTCGCGAGTCCTAGGCCTTCAGCTGGGTTTTATAAAACCTTTTCGCTTTTAGGCCTCCGCCGTGTGTGCAAAAAAAAAAAAAGTTCAATCAATCAGTCAATTTCAACTTCTCATGGGAAAAAAAAGATCTTGCAAAGTTGGAATTGATTGAACTTTTTAGTCCCACCCAGTCTGCCGTTACCACCGCAGCCACGCCCACCCAATGGGCCACACCCACCCGGCACCCAACGATGCATAAGTGGGTTTTGGGTTGCAGTTTGGGCACTCGGTCTCTAAAAGGTTTGTCATCACTGCCTTATGCTCTATTTTCCTTTCCAGCCTTTGGTGAAGGTCCTCAGCCTTCTTTGCTTTGCTCCTGGGTGCATGATAGATGTTGGGTCGGGGGGGGGGGGGGGGACAAGCTCCGGCTGCAGCCCTGCAGTTCCACCTGCCTACCAGATTACTTTGCAAAGGAGAGAGGAATTGTGGCTTGGCTCCCATTGAACAGGACACAGGCGGGATTCCCCATAAGGCCCGGACAGTCCCAAGGAAGCTTCTCTCTGTACCTCTGGCCAAGTAGAGTTGCCTTCTACAGAGCTGAACAGGCAGAAGCAGAGTGATAGGTGCACACACACCCCCATGCCCAGGGTCAGGCCCATGGTTTTTACTGGGTGAATTTGTGCCGTGGGGAGGCAAGTACCCCACTCCACTGTGGTTAATATAATCTGCCATGTGTTGTTTTAGGCCTGCCTTGTCCTTAAGAGGGCTGAAGGACCGCTTTTCCACAGCCCAGCCCACATGTAGATATGTTTTAAAGTGATGGGTTGTATGGGGAGAGATGGCTTGTGGAAGAATAAAGTGCTGGAAATGAAGGCTTACAACATACTTATTTTTTAACTTGAGTTTACACAGAAATAACTAGTTAACATTCACAGCAAGTTCAAGTCCTTCAAGGCAGCAAAAGCTAGGTTGCTGCTTTTAGCAGGTGGGCACCCCACTAGTGAAGCAGCTACCTCCCTGGCTTAAAAGGATGCACTCATCGGTTGACCTTGGCCCAATGTAAGCAGGTGAAACTCCTGCTCTCCATCTTGTCGATGTAGAGGATCCCCTTTATGTGATCCATCTCGTGCTGAATGATGCGTGCTGCGAAGCCTCTGGCTTGCCACGTGGTCTCCTCTCCAGCCTCGTTTAGTCCTGGGGGGGGGGAGAGAGAAAAAGCCCCACAGCGGGGCCCGCTTTGGGATCCCGGAGGCGAGCAGGGCACCTCGTCCCCGGCGGCCGCCTGTCCTCGCCCCCGCCTCACCTGAGACCTCCACGCCCATGTGCCGGGCGACCACGGCCGAGAAGCCGGGCAGGCTAGCGCAGCCCTCAGTGAAGTAGCTGGGCCGGCTGTCCAGCACCCGCACGGCCGGGTTGACGAAGACACGCAGCGGGAAGGGGACGACCTCCAGGGCGGACAGCGGCGGGCCGCGGAACTCGGCCACGAAGACCTGCAGCGGGACGCCCAGCTGGGGGGCGCTCAGCCCCACGCATCCCTCCCGCCGCATCACCGCCACCAGCCGCGCGATCAGCCGCTGCACCTCTGCGCTGCCCACCCGCTCCGGCTCCACCCGCGCCGCCACGCCGCGCAGCGCCGGATCGCCCACCAGGCAGACGCGCTGGAAGGGCGGCTCGCACGGGCCCAGCAGCCGCCGCCGCAGCCCTCGCCAGCAGCCGCCGAGCTCCCCCCAGGGCCGGTCTGAGAAGGCGAGGCCGCGCGGGCGGCACGAAACCAGGCTGGCGCGGAGGATGCCCCGCAGCCCGTGATTCCAGCTCCGCGCCGCCATCGGCCGGGCAGAAGAGCGCCCCCAGCGGCAGGAGAACTCCCCTCCGCCGAGCGCGCCCATCCGGCCCGGAAGTGCTCCTTGAACGGAGGCTGCGCAGTAGGAAAGGTGCGAGGGGATCGGATCGCGCAAGCGCAGATGGACCCGCACGGGCCGCGCTCAAGCGCCTCCCCCCTCCTCGCGGGGGCAGTGGGAGGGGCGAAGGCGCCTCCCGCGCACAATAAAATACTCCAGGGGAGAAAGGGAAACACCAACTTTATTCTCTCAGTTCTTCCCTTGCATCTGCCCCCCCCACCTTCCCTTCCTGCTTGGCAAAGGAGGCCGCCAGAAAGGGCACCTGTAGCCAAGCGCTGCCCTTGCCTGCCCAGGGAAGAGTGGGGGATGCCCACAGATGCTCCTTCAGAGGATAAGCCCCCAAACCTCCACCAGCTATCCCGTGGCGGGAACCACACTGAGCGGCCGTGTGTCCTCAGAAAGGGGGCCCTTCTCTGCAACTGGAGCAACAAAGATGGCAGGGCTGGGATCTGCTTCCTCCTGCTCTGAGCCAGAGAGTCCCAAGTCCAGGGGAAGTTGCAGGCGCTCTTGGGCCAGCCTCTTCTCAGCCAGAGGGAGAGCAGTCTCTTTCTTGGGGAGGACTGAGCCCAGGAGCTCCTGGATCGCCTCCTCATCTACGCAGGCGAGACCTCCGTACTTATGGACCTGAGCAGCAGGAACACCTAGCAGGGCAGGAAACAAACACAAAAATGGGAAACCAGACACTTCCATCAATCCTAAATCCCAGAGAAGGTTCCTTTCTACATTTTCCGAGTCTGTGATCCCTACCTCCTGGGCACCTATGCACATCATTCCCTGATAGGCCAATCGTCCCAAAGCTTTTTCCAAAAGGTAATTATACATTCTTGGTGTTCAAAGAAAATACAAAGAAAGTCCAGCTGCCTTTTGGAAAAAGCACCTTTTGGACAAGCATGAGTAGGATGATTGAGAAGGGAGCAGTTCTAGCTCCAAAGAGCAATAAAGTGCTCTTCTACCACTTTCTGCAAGAAAGTAAATGTAACTATACCCAGAATCTGTGCAATTTGGGCTAGAGGGAAGAGAAGCTGGAGACAGCGGTTGAGGTATGGCACCAAGTCTTCCAGGAACGCTGTGCAGAAGTGAACAAACAGCTCTTGCTCTTGACTGCTGAATGCTGCTGCCTCCGCCCGATGGAAAGCCAGGATGATCTTTACAACCTGGTGAGAGAAAAGACTCATTAGAAGCCTTTGGTTTATAAATTCAGAGCAACCGGATGAAAACTACCTATTGAAAATTCAGATCATGAATTATCTAACCAGGCAGTGCATGACACTACTAGACAAAATCCACCAGCTGCAAAGAGACTATGAGAGATTCTAAGGAGCTCAGTTTAAAATGGGAAGAATACATTCAAGCTTTTGGAATAGCCATTAAAATAATTATTCTCATCACTGAGAAATACAGAATATTTTTCCAGTCTAAGATAGAGAGCAGTACCTGGCTGAGCACGTCCTCCAACAGAGCTGCCACAACTGAGGTCAGAGCGACTGGGCAGCAGAGACGCAAATCATTGAAGGCCATCAGGATGTTGTTGAGCAAGTGGGCAAGTGGGGGAAAGTCTAGTAGCACCAGAGGGGGCTGCAAGGTGCCTGGCTGGGCAGAAGGCATTGGCACAGAGATGGCACTGCCCAGGAGAGCCGGCATAGAGATCAATGTGTAGGAGTTCATCTCTTCTTGGAACTGGTCTGTGACCTCCTGCATAGCTTTCTTGAAGGTAAGGAGCACCACACGCTGAAAAATGGGAACAAGCTGGCCCCGGAAGTCCGCCCCTATCCGACTGAAGGACAGGCCAAAGTACATGCACTGGCCCAGCAAAGAGTCAAGGCGATTGCCCACACCACGCTGTAAGTCTCGCTCAAGAACCAGCAAAAACTGGGACACTTTCTGCAGCACCCACCCGTGGAAGATGGCACTCTCATTGAAGGTGTCCTTCCCCAGGGGCAGCACCAGCGGCTCTTCATCTGCAAATATGGCACGATACTGCGTGACAATGTCAAAGAGATGCACGCGGCAGGCCTCTATCGTTTTTGTGATGTGCACATAGGGGTCATCATCAGGAACAGCCGCAAGGATGGAGCGCAGCCAGAAGTCTCTTGCTTGCAGGAATGTGATGCGCAGTTCAGCCTCTGTGAACACATCCATGCAGCGCAGGTAGCCAATGACACGCAAACAAGCGGGTAGCTGGATGTTGGTGCGTAACTGCTGGATCAGTTGAGTAAGCATGAGCTGTGTGGACTGACGCACCTCAGCCACTATGCCCTGGGAAGGAAAGAGAAGCCGTTCTTACTGGGGCAGGTGCTCTGAAAATAGATTCACAAAACCATGCAAGAGGCATACCCCAATTCTAATTCACAACGCCACATGGCCCTTTGGACTCACTGTTGTAATATTGCCATAGATGTGCTCTGGCAGCATTAATGCCAGCCAGCATGAAATGTCTATGCTGAGACGTGGTTGCTTACGGTATATTTGAGCAACTCATGTAACAAAAGGTACTTGGTCCTAAATCATCCCAAAATGCTTAGTATAAAAGCAACCAGCATTTTACAGATCGAAAGAAAAGCATAAAAGCCCCAACACTTTTTACCACAGAGGGAGCACAAATGCTTCGCCTTCTCCCTCCTCTAAGCTTGACTCCTGCTTCAAGACTATGGCCATGTCCTCTCCTGCCTTCACCCCAAGCCCCTCAGGTCAAGGTCACAGCAAGCAGAGCCTGGAAGGTCAAAGAGGTTCACCCACGGGCCATCCCCAGTGGTGCCTGCACCTGGATTACGGGGACGCCGGCGTGCTTCTTCTCCAGGCGGCGGACGTAGGAGACGAGCTCCAGCGCCTCCTCGTAGTAGCTGTTGCGGACACAGGTGTCCATCAACTGCGGGATCTCCAGCACCTCCAGGATCTCCGTGTGACGGTTCAGCGTCACGTTGTTCATCCGGCGGCTCTGCGCGATCTGCTCGGCGTGGCGCATGAAGCCCCTACGGGAGAAGGCGGCGAGTCAGCGGGCGGGCCTGGTCGGCACCCGCCTCGCCTCCCTCCGGCCGGGACTTGGCGGCTCACCGGCAGGCCTCGGCGAAGGGGGGCAGGCGGTCCAGCAGGCGGCCCAGGCCTTGCTCGATGCCGCCGAAGCCGCGGCGGGTCTCAGCGGTGCACTCGGCCGAGCGGATGAAGGTCTTGTAGTGCGCGAAGGCCAAGGCCCGCGTCTGCGCCCCCAGCTGCGCCCGCTCCTCCGCCAGCCGCCCGGGCTCCCGCCGCAGCGCCTCCAGGCCCAGCCCCGACAGCCCCGCTAGGTAGGTCGGCAGCTCCGCGTCTCCCGCCGGCACCCCTGAGGGCGACGCGCGAAACAGCCAGGCCAGCAGGCTCGCCTCCTCCACGTCCGCTCCGCTGCCCGGTGCCGCCGCCTCCGAGCCTGCCATCGCAGAATCTACGTGGACCAGGAAGTGATCGCTATGGCAACCGGGGCGCTGGGGCCCGTTCGATAGCACTTCCGGCTTCCGTTCTGACGGCTCTATTCCGAAGGTCTCGCACTCTATAGTCCATGAAAGATGTTCCTGCGGTGGGGCAGCTTCCGGGCCTGGGAGCAGCTTCCGGGCCCGGCCAGGCTTGGGCGTCATCACGCGGCGGCGCTGCCTCTGGCGCTTCGGTCGGAGGGGCGATGCGGCCGCTGACGGACGAGGAGACCCGCGTCCTCTTCGAGAAGCTCGCCCGATAGTGCGTGCCGGTGCCGCGCGGGCCTCGCGTAGCTTGGGGAACTCGGAGCCGCACGACGGGCGCCTGGGCTGGGCTGGGCTGGGCTGGAAGGAGGCCGGGCGGGGAGGGCTTGGCCGAGGCTCTGCGGGGCTGCCCGGCTGACTCTGTCTGTTCCCTTTGCAGCGTCGGCGAGAACATCCAGCTGCTAGTGGACCGGCCGGACGGCACCTACTGCTTCCGCCTGCACAAGGACCGCGTCTACTACGTCAGGTCGGCGGGGCCCGCTGGTGGCCAGAGCCGCGAGGCAAAGGAGGGGAGGGGGCGGCCTTTGAGCGGGGGTGCTCTCCCTTGTGTGTAACCTGGATTGGAAGGGAAGTTTTTGTACGTTTTGTGACTTTTACACAGGGTGATGATTTCAGTGGTTCCTCCAAGGTAGAAAGGTTGAGGAGAGCTGGTCAAGAGGGAAGCCGATGTCCTCCCCATCTCGCCCACTCCAGCTTTAAAGAGGGACCAAACCAATGGCTGACCCTCCACTTGCCCCAGAGTTTTTGAGATTGGCCCACTGAAACCTGTTCCTAAACTCCACTTTGACTGTACTCCACTTTGTTTTTCAGCGAGAGACTTCTGAAACTAGCTACAAACATTCCACGGGACAGTCTGGTGTCCCTGGGCACCTGCTTTGGAAAATTCACCAAGACCCAGAAATTCCGGCTCCATATCACTGCCCTGGATTACCTCGCCCCTTATGCCAAGGTAAAGAGCCAATGCCAATTTTATTTCAGAAGCATTTTCTTTCTGTTCACAAGCATGAGGCTTGAAAGATGTGAGAGAAGATGTTTGTCATGCTCCAAAATGAAGAATGAGAGAGGGCCAGAATGTCAACTGGCTTGCCTTGGAACAGTGAGAAACATTTTGACTGCAAGCAGTCAGTCAAAGACCAGCAAGGCCTGGAAATTATTATTATTAATAATAATAATAATAATAATAATAATAATAATAATAATAATAATAATAATAATAATAATAATAAAGAAGTTGGAAGGGACCTTGGAGGTCATCAAGTCCAACCCCCTGCTCAGGCAGGAAACCCTATACCATTTCAGACAAATGGCTGTCTAGTCTCTTCTTAAAAACTTCCAGTGTTGGAGCATTCACAACTTCTGGAGGCAGGTTGTTCCACTGGTTAATTGTTCTGTCAGGAAGTTTCTTCCCCCCCCCTTTCCTTCCCTTTTCCCTCCCTTATTTTTCTATTTTCTTTTGTATTTTTGTATTCGATATTATAAACTAATAAAAAAAGATACATATTTTTTTTTCTAAATCAACATCTAATTTTAACTGCATGGCCAAGCAACCAGTTTGCTTATTTTTATCAATGAAAACTTTTTATTAGTTTTTCAACTAACCCCCCCCCAAAGTCTTAATACAAATATGGTATACGTTAATAAAAAATCATATTAAATACAGACATAAAAATTTCAGAGCAGCTCGGCAGCCCCCCCCCCTGCATCCACCCTCTCTTTCACCCTTCCTACTTACTTCCCTCCTCCCCTCCTATCCTCCTACCTACACCTCTCTCCTCTCTTTCAACCACCCCACACATCCCACCTCCTTCCTTTCCTCATCCTTCGGATGCAGTTCGGGGGTACTGGCCGAGCACCTCCTTTTCATAAAACTTTACATTATTTCTCTACAACATTTTAGTACACCAACTTTTACATATCTCTACCCTCCTTCCCCCCCCCCGGACTTTCCAGAACTGAATACAGGGTTAAGCACATATCATCCCAAGTCTAATTAAAACTACCCAACCATAATACAGTCAAATATAAACATATTTTAACTCTAAAAACAAATAAACACATATCAACTTAACATAACCATAAAATATATACAATAACTATATAATGAATAATAATATAATTACATAAATTATAAATAAAATAATATAAAATCTACTCAAAGACTATATAATATTTATTCATCTCATACTTTCTCTGAATATAATCTATCCATTTTCTCCAAACCAAAATAATTTTTTCTTGAGATTGATCTTTCAAATATGCGGAAATCTTAGCCATTTCTGCAAAATACGACACCTTCATTCTCCAATCATCCATAGTAGGTAATGCATTCTTCTTCCAGTTTTGAGCAACCAATAACCTTGCTGCCGTTATACAATANAACATCAAAATCACTTCTTTAGAATTTAAATCTTCCATAATACCCAAAAGAAATAATTGCGGTGTAAATTTTATCTTTCTCTTAAAAATCTGTTGGATATTCCACCAAATCTTAATCCAAAAAGCTTTTACATCCCTACAAGTCTACCAAATGTGATAATAAGTTGCATCTAAGTTACCACATCTCCAACATTTGGGCTGTAAGTTAGGATACATACAAGATAATTTTTGGGGATCCAAATGCCACCTATAAAACATTTTATAAAAGTTTTCCCTTAAGTTCTGCGCTTGAGTAAACTTCACATTTCTTACCCAAATTATTTCCCATGTATCCAGCAGAATAGGTTCCTGAATATTTTGAGCCCATTTGATCATACAATCTTTAACTAATTCTGTTTCCAAATCCAGTTCTAGTAGAACACTATAAATTCTCCTAATATGAGCTCTACTTTGATCTTTAATCTGCTTTATCAAATTCACATCCTCCAAAGTTAAACCAAGCTTTTGATCTATATACCACCTATCTACCAATTGACAATATGGGAACCAGAAGTGGAGAATATTATCTCGTTTCAAATCTTCCAAAGACTTCAATTGCCAATCCTGTCCCTTCAAGATAAGTAATTCCTTGTAAGAAATCCCCTCCAATATAACACCCCTCGTAACCCCTTGTATTGCATGTCCTGGAATTGCCCAAATTGGAATTTTACAATTTAATTTATAATAATGCTTCTTCCAAACTTGCAATAATGCACTCCTTAAAATATGAGCTTTAAAAACTTGATCAACTTTCTTGTCAAGAAACAAATAAGCATGCCATCCATAAAATAAGTCCCATCCTTCAAGAATCAATATATCTCTATTAGTTAAATTAATCCAATCACTAATCCAAGTTAAGCCACCGCATCATAATATAATTTTAAGTTCGGGGCTTTAAGTCCCCCTCTTTCGCGTGCATCTTGCATAATTTTAAATTTAACCCTCGGCTTTTTGCCCTCCCATATAAACCTATTGATATCTCTCTGCCATACCTCCAAATTAGAGTCTTTTTTTAAAATAGGTATCATTTGAAACAAAAAAAGAAATTTTGGGAGAATATTCATTTTAACCACTGAAATTCTCCCTAGCAATGATAACTGTAACTTTTTCCATTCATTTAAATCCTTTTGACTTTTTATCCATAACTTATCATAATTATTTTTGTATAACTTAACGTTAGAGGCACTAATATAAACTCCCAAGTATTTCACCTTTTTCACTATTTCAAAACCAGTTGAATTAACTAACTTCTTATCTTTCTTCAACATATTTTTAGCTGGTATTTTAGTCTTATTATTATTTACTTTAAATCCAGAAACTTTCCCATACTGAATCAAAATCTGCATCAACTCACTTATTGATTCAATCGGTTGAGATAAGGTAAAAACCAAGTCGTCAGCAAAAGCTCTCAACCTATAATCCTTGTTTAATTTTATTCCTTTTATAACCGATGAGTCACGAATTTTAATCAATAAAATCTCCATTGTCAAAACAAATAATAATGGTGATAGTGGACATCCTTGCCTTGTACCTTTCTCAATTTTAAATATATCTGTCAGTCCCCCATTTACCACAATTTGCGCTGATTGTTGTTGATAAATAGCTTTCAAAGCAAGCAAAAATCTATCTCCAAAGTTCATTCTCTCCACAACTCGCAATAAAAATTGCCAGTCCAATTTGTCAAAAGCCTTTTCAGCATCCAAAAAGATAAAAACCGC